AGGAAGTTTAAAGAGAAGTGTGCTTGGATGTGTGATACTCAAAGGAATTTGTGGAAGAATTGTTTCTGGATCTTACCTCTTCTTTGGTGTTGGAGACAGAAGACAGTGATGTTTCTGATCCCGAACTCGAAGGATGTAGAATGTCCGACGTTGATGGTGATGGTTTCAAGTTATCAGACAGACTGGTATTGTCTCTTTGCTGACGGACTTTCAAAGAAATCATCTTGAACTTGTCAAGAGAAGTCAAAAGAAGTCTATTGGGTAGGTGGATAGAGTGGGAAGGGTAGTAGTTGTAATAATAATAACGAAGGAAGGAAGTAAAGGGTATCTGAGTGATACCTCGAAGTTAAAGAAGAAAAGGATGAGGGAAGGAAGGAAGGAACAAATTGCAAAAATGGAAGAATAATACGAAGGTGTAGAAGGAAAGAAGGAGCAAGTCAAGCAAGGGAGAGGTCGAAGACTTAATAAGTAGGTTCTAGGAAGGTCCTTCGAGAACTCAAATGGAGCTAAGACTAGCGTGGTTTGTTGAAGAATCCACCTCATCCCCTCATGAAGTCGAAAGATGATAGAACTTCAATCAAGTAGATGGGGTCAGATAGAGGGGTTGGTTTGCCCAAATAGGAAATAATGGCATGATTTACTCTGCATCTGAAGTCTTTTACTGTTTGTACATGAGAAGAAAGGCGAGTACATGGTGGTGAATTATGGATTTCAATCCTACAAGCCTCACATTCCCAGATTTATCGAAAGGGGGTTTTTTTGTTTGGATGAGGTATCTTCTTTCCCCAATTGAAAGAACTTTTGGCAGGATGAGGGGTATCTTTGAATGATATAAGTGAATTGATAGAGTTAAGAATTGAAAGTTGAAGCCCATATCAGCTCATTGAAAAGATAACTGCTAGAGTTGAAAGTGTGGAATTGTTCACATGAAGGGGGGTTGATGAATTGAATCTATCCGACCTTACCCCCTACAAAGGGATTTGGCGGACTGCTCCGAACAAATCGCTTATCCGAAGTGAGTCCGAGAAATGAAGTGCATTTGGGTGCTGGAAATAATGAAGAATAGGAAAGAATATATACAAAGGTGAAGGAGAAAGTGAATTCTACCATGACTTTTGGGCATTTTGATAACCCCTCTTGACAGTTCATTCATACCACTTTGGGACTGCAACAATAGCCCCCATCTCAAGATTATTGTTATGAAGTATACAAAGTAGATATATACCGATTGAATTGTGCTTCAAATCTCCAATGGGGACTAACAAAAACGTAGAGAGTTACTTTTGGTGCTGAGATCCTGGCTATCAACTCTGAATATCAACTCTTGCTGTCACAATCCCACTTGAACAGCACCTTCCTGGTTCACTGTAAAGATTTCATCAAAAACGATACACATCATTCCCCAAATTCACTGCTTTTAGAGATGATGCAGGGAAACAACCTCCAGCTTCACAAGACAAACACGTGCTCTTCAAAGACTTTTGACTGGTATCTGGTATTGAGGAATACTTAGGTAATGTAGAAGATATTTACAATATGATTCACTTGGTTTTATCATCAGTTGCATTTGGTAGACAGATAGGTTTCCTTTTAGGATGGAGAAAAAATCCCTTCCTCTCTTTGACTGCAAAAAAAGATACTAACAATCATTAACAACCTTGAACAGACTCATACTCCATCGCAGACCTCAATTGACTACCACCAGGATTCGATGATAAAAAAGAGAATACTGGCTGTTTTCTTGGCAATATGAAGTTTTGAGGTAATTCCTTTATCCTTCAATCGATCCTACAAAAAAACTACCTCTTTAGAGACCATTTACAGTCTGAATACTCCATGGTCGAACCAAAAGACTGAATAACCCAACTTCTGCCTCTATCTGACAAAAGTACTTAATCTGATATTTAACCGATATCCCTGTATCTTGCACAACCCTATATCTTGCACAATTTGATTTATTAAACTAAAAATCGATATTAAATTCAAATATCATTATAATGATTTTAAAATTTGTATAATAGAATCTTATATTTATTAAAAGATAATATCAGGAATTTGAAAGATTTAAAATATTTAATTGAATATTAATCGATTTTGAATAATAATATTTTAAAATATTAATAATAAAATAAAAATCTATATTAGAGTGAATATATATAATTGAAAAATAGTTTTTTGTATTTATTATTATTATTATTATTAATCAAAAGTTTGAAATTTCGAAAAATATCAATAATCAAGTTTTATATTAAGTTTTAAATTTTTATATAGTTTTAAAAAAAAGAAAAATAATTTAAAAATACTTTTTAAAATATAATAAAATATTTATTTCGAGATTTTAGAAAAATAAAATTGATATTTTAATTTAATTTATAAAACTATATTTTTATATATTAGAAAATATATAATATAATAATAATAAATAATATTAAAATAATATATTATTTAGAAATTATAATTAATTATATTATAGAGTAATATAAATAAGAAAAAATAATAATTAAAATAGTCGATTTTTATATTTCTATTGAAAAGTTTATTATATATTTTTTTTCAATCAAAAATATTGTAATTCCTTTTTTAAAAGAATTTTATTTCTAAAAAAAAATCTTTAAATTTTATAATATTTCTAAGAATTTTATAATTTATATTTAATTTCAAATTCATTTTATAATATTTAATATTAATTATTAGTTTTAAATTTAAATTTAAATCAAGATTTTTTTTTCAAAAAATATTTGAATAAAAATTCTTTATTATTAATTATATAATTTTAATTTTTAAATATTAATATTTTTAAAATAAATAATTATATATATAAATATATAATAAAATATAGTATTTTATTATTTAATTATTAATATTAATATATAAATAATATATTATATAATTAAATTATATTCAGAATATAATTAATACTTAAGTTATAAAAGATTTTTGTTTTAAAACAAATTATTTATTAAAACTCTTATTATATATTAATATAATTTCGAATTTTTGATATTAAAATTAGCTTTTTTTGATTCCTTATATTAAAAGATCTTCAAATTTATATAATATATTCTAAAAACAAACTTTTATTATTTCTATTATTAAATAAATTAATATATAATAATTTTATATTAATAGTTTTGATATCGAGATTTCTATTCAATTATTAATTATAATTATAATTTTATTATTTTATATAAAAGAAATAATATTATAGTATTCTTATTTTTATTTTTAATAGAATTCAATGATTGATTGATTATATATCATTTTTAGAATATTATTTTCAAAAGAAATAAAAGTGTACAAGATGCAGGGTTGTGCAAGATGTAGGGATATCGGTTACATCATTCAAGTAACTTGTAACTTATTTCGCGTACTACAGATGGACCACAGATGGACTACTGTGCACCCGATGCCTTGTTTCCAGCTAAGTATAGCGTATGAAAGATAATACCAAAGGAGGATATCCAACTCCTTAAATTCTTTCTGGAATTGGATATAGATACACCCCAACATCTGTCTTGTGCTTGACTGTTTCTTCAATCATTGATAAACAAGCAAAGTAAAGGTGATCTGAGAAACTTCCTTGGCCTTCTCGATATTGCTGTACTGTCTCCAAACTACAAATAAAAGGCACTCTCCATCGCAATCTGTTTGAACAATCTTTGAAGAGTATACCTACCAAGCTCCTCTCAATATTTACTAAACTACTACATCAAACACAATCAATAGAGGAAAATCCTCAATTTGCCTTTTGTTTGGTAGAACTTCAAGTACCGGTTACAACAACTTGTCCTGTCTTTTCCTGTCCTGCCTTCATTAATTCATGAGCACTCAATGGCTCAGACGTAGACTCCAGTATCCTCCGCATTTGGTCAGGACTACCACACTACTAGGTATCTCTACCTCCATCGGTTGTTTCCCGGCTTGCTGAATAAAAACCTCATCTATTGTTTTTGTGGAGGTGATGTTTGAGCATACGGACAGGAATGATAAAAACCTTAAACATCAGGTACCAAAGTATGCTACTAACAAGCAACACCATCACCCTTCAAGCCCCTATCTCCTCTTACATAACCGACATTTCCGATGAATCCGATGAAATGACTAGCGTCAGTACTCCTGTACCTACTTTTACACCGCTTTGCCCGACAAACCCAAGCTTCCATTCGAATCTCCGCTGCGATATAATTTAGGTTCTTCCCAAACTCGAACCGATTTAATATCGAACAGTTGCCGACGCTAATATGCGGTTGGATGGATCACTGTGGATCATTGCACTGACCATAATACCTGGGCTTGAGCTGGGGTCTCCATTTCATTCGTGAACTCAGCGCTGAGCAGTTTTCGGTGTTAAGCAGCTCGTCGTATTTTGCTCTTCACATTTCCGATATGGGCAGAGGAGAGAGTCAGGTGTGAAGATACAAACAATGTAATCTTACATGGCGAGTACAAGGATGGTTTCAAGAACAGTACCTGCGTACGGACGACTACAACCTCGAGTTGTGTCATCGAGGCACAATTGGAAGGTTTGAATGAAAATCATCTAGATGATATCCACTTACTCACTCACTCACTTACTCACTCAGGGGGGCCTCGGTTTTCGGTCAGTTACCCGTATAGTAACCGGTATTTGTACTTATATTGAAGTATTCCCCAAACCCCGCATTTCTTAGCAATAGTGGCAGTGTTGTACCGTTGCTTTCAGCGAATCATCAGCTTCAAGTATCTACTAGGTACATATACCTAGTATTCATTTATGATAGTTTGCATTCAACTTCTTCATTTGGACTCTCTCTCTCTCTCTCTCTCTCTCTCTTTTGAAATAGTCAACATTTATACCCAGTTATCGTTTCATCTTGTATATCTTCCATTCTCATATACAATTCGTTGATTCGTTCATCTGCAAAAATTTCCTGATTTCTTCTGCCAAACTTGAGGGTTGTCTACCAACGGCGCAAACATCCTTGCTTTATTTGAGCTTACCAAATAATAAATTCATCATCATGGTTTTTACACCTCCAGCATGGGTTCCCAATGATCCATTGAGTATGTGTAAACTTCAATTCCTTCAATTTTGAAGCTTGCTCACCTATCTTCGCCCCTGAATTGTATAGCTAACATTTCTCAAAAACAGATATACCAGATGATGTACCAATCAGTCAATTCATGCTCAATGAGAAACACGGCAGAAAACCTCTCAAGTCATCTCGCAATCCATTCACATGCGGTATCACTGGAAAAACATATACAGCTTTGGAACAAGTTCAACGGGTAGAACATTTAGCAAGAGCTTTGTCAAAAGAATTAGGATGGCAACCAAATACGGGAACAGAATGGGACAAAGTGATGGGCATATTTTCTCTCAATACTGTAGGAAGATCCGTTCAAACATACAAATGAATTCGGGGGGCTAATAATAATCTCAGATTGATTTCATGACATTGGCATATGCAGTTCACGAATTGGGTGGAGTGGCTTCACCTGCGAATGCTCAATATTCTGCCCCGGAATTGGAATTTCAATTGAAGTCCTCAGGGGCTAAAGCACTTTTCACGGTAAAAATTCAGGCGTCGCAAGAATTCTAAATATGGAACTAATTCGAAAATAGTGTATACCTTTACTCGAGACCGCTTTACAAGCTGCCAAAGGAGCCGGAATTAAAAATGATAAAATCTATATTTTAGACATGCCAGAGATGTTGACTGGGGGAAAGAAGGTGCCATTTAAGACTGCAGATGATTTGATTTCAGCAGGAGAAAAGCTCCCAAAATTAGAGCCATTGAGAATGGAGAAGGGACAAGCAGCTCGACAAACAGCATACTTGTGTTACTCAAGTGGAACTTCAGGGTTACCCGTAAGTATTTCCCCTGCATCAATTGAGACAGTTCTCAAAATAATTCCGGAAAACGCGAATCCCCCCAAATATGGCTAACAAAATATCAGAAAGGAGTCATGATCAGCCACCAAAATGTTATGTCAAATATCCTACAACTCAAAGCGTATGAGAAAGACTATAGAGATCAATGGGAAACAGATACAGAAGTCGGCTTGGGTCTTCTTCCTCTAAGCCATATTTATGGTCTAGTCATCGTGGCCCAAGGAACAACTTATCGCGGTGATGAAATAATTGTGCTTCCCAAATTCGAGCTCAAGTTATTCCTCAACAGTATCCAAACCTATAAAATTCGAGGTCTCTTCCTCGTAAGCATTCTCCATATGAAACATATTGCAAATCAAAATCTGATGATCATTAGGTCCCTCCAATCATTATCCAACTCGTAAACAATCAATCCATCTGCTCAAAATATGACATCAGTTCCGTACGGGGTCTCTTCACCGGAGCCGCACCTCTCGGTACAGAAACCGCAGAAGAGCTTCAAAAAATCTATCCTAAATGGGTTATTCAACAAGGCTACGGTACACACTCTTACCCCTCTACCCTCCCCATCAAAACACACCAAATCTAACAATCTCCCCTCCCAGGCTTAACCGAAACCTCCACCGTGGTCTGCATGTCATCCGCCAAAGATCTCTGGCTCGGCTCCTGCGGATCCCTCATCCCCGGCGTGCGCGCAAAATTGGTCAATCCAGAAGGTGTCGAAGTCACGGGTCTGAACCAACCGGGTGAATTGGTCGTCCAGTCCAAATCCGTCGTGCTCGGCTATCTCAATAATGAGAAAGCGAATCACGAAACGTTTCTCCCCGATACAGATGGAAATGGTAGATGGATGCGCACGGGTGATGAAGCGGAGATCCGTGTCAGTCCGGCGGGACATGAACATGTTTTTATCGTGGATAGGATCAAGGAACTTATTAAAGTAAAAGTAAGCAAACCCTTCCCCCCCTTCAAAAACCCCACTATTCCCTCTCTCCCCTCTCTCTTAAAACCCCCACCTAACATCTCCCAGGGCCTCCAAGTCGCCCCCGCCGAGCTCGAATCCCACCTCCTCTCTCACCCCTCCATCGCCGACTGCGCCGTCATCCCCATCCCGGACCCCGCCGCCGGCGAAATCCCCAAAGCCTACGTGGTGAAATCCACATCCGTCGGCATCGAAGAAAACGACGCCCTCATCAAAAGAGATATTTGCAAATGGGTGGAAACGCACAAGGCGCGACATAAGTGGTTGAAAGGAGGTGTGGAGTTTATTGATGTGATTCCGAAGAGTCCGAGTGGGAAGATTTTGAGGAGGTTGCTGAGGGATAAGGAGAAGGAGGCGAGGAGGGCGAAGGGCGCGAAGTTGTAGTTTTGGTTGTGAGGTTAGAATCTTGGGAAGAAAGGAGGAGGGTTGTGTCAGATAGTAGTAAGATGTTCGATATTGATTTTATATTGAAAGTTAATCTTTCGTGTATTTTTAAGTGGAATTGATGGGATTTGATGGGTAATACAGTTTAGTTTATAATTATCGCGACGTAGATTTTTTTCTGCTTGTTCTTGATGTAAATTTTTATTGAGATTTATAAATAGTCGCTTGCTTACTTGCTTCCTTGCTTGCTTGTTTGTAAAGGAAAATATCTATCGTCCACGAATTCTATACTTCATGTAATGAGAAAACTCCTCCGCCATGCCATTCATGCCATTCATTCATCCATCCATGATTCCACCCACTCCATAACCACACATCCACATAATCCCCTCCCCTTCCCTAAATCGGCGATTCGAAAACCAAACTAATCCCATCATCACCGGCCGTAACAATTCTATTTCCATCGCCCTGCACGAAACCCATGACGCCCACGCCATCCCCCCGATGACCCTTCCACTCGCCCACCAATCCGGAATTGGCAATTCCCGTTCCACCTCTCGCGTCCCATCGACGGACGACTCCGTCCATTCCGCAACTGGTCAATAGCCATCCGCCGGATTGTGTGTTCTTTACGAATTCTACCTTCACGACGGCGTGCTCCTCGTGCGCTTCTTTGATGTGTCTACGTACTGCGAATCGATGCGCTGAGTCGAAGAGCGCAATGCTTCCATCTACGCTTGCGGCAGCCATGAGTGTCAAGGGGGGTTGCGCAAAAGCAATCGATTCGATTCCATCACCCTGGGCTTGCAAATCCGCAAGAATTTGTCCGGATTGACCTGGACTCGCGCCCGCACCCGAAGCATCAGGTAAACGCGGCAATCCCACAATTTTGATCGAACCACCTGCACCTCCCGCCGCCACAAACGAACCCGAGGGCGCAATCCCCACACTGAAAAGACCCCCCTCAACTGCAAATCGTTGATCCAACGCCGTGAGCCCCACAACCGTTTGCCCACCTTCTCCTGTTAATCCCGCGGCCGCAGCCTCTCCAAACACATCCCACACATACAACGACCCATCCTCACTAACCGTCGCCAACAGCTTTCCATCCGCCGACCACGCGCCCGCCGTACAACTCTCCGTGTGCGCAAAATAACTCTGCATCAACTGCAGCGGCGCCTTCTTCTGACTCGGATCCACAGTATACACCCACACAGAGCCATCATTCGCACCAAACGCAAACGTATTCGGGGCTTTCGTATACGGACACGCCAGCAGCCAGTTCACCTCCTCGACTTCCCGTGCCTCGGTATATTTCTTCCACTTACTCCCATTTGTCACGTACACCTGGATCTTCCCATCGAGACCGCCCGAAAGCAAAAACTTCCCATCCGGCTGCGAAAACGCCAGCGCGTTGATCGAATCCGTGTGGCCTTCCAACTTAAAGATGGGCTCCTGACTACCCCGCTCCACCCGCTCCGAGGGATTGCTCTGGTAACTCGCCGGCAACACTGGAGTGGGCGCGGGCGTCGCATCAAAGATATACCCCACGCCCGGCGCATTATCGGCGTCACCGTCCGAGCCGCCAGTAGCGACGAGCTCGGGACGCAGAGGGTGTTGCGCGATGCAGAAGATGGAGTCGCCGTGGGCGTCCATGTGGGCGACGGAGTCGTTTTGCAGTTGGATTTCTTGCTCTTGCATTTCTTGATCTGCGGCGTCGTCGCCGTCTTGATCTTCGTCGCCTGAATCCATGGCCGCGTCGCCGTCTATGTCGATGATTTCTTCGGCCGCGTCGGCGGGGTCGAACATTTCGTTTTCGTCTTCGTTGATGCGCTCATCGTCTTGAGGGTGGTGGGAGGAGGACATGGTGGGTTTATTTGTGTATTCGATTTTATAAAGTATAGCTGAAGAAAAAGAAGAAGAATGAGAGGTAAAAGTAAAATTCAGAAAACAAACCCCAATATCCTTACTCGTAAATTTCTATCCGAATTGTAATAATAAATCCTTCGATGGTATTTTCTTCCGACTTCGAAAATGCTTTGATAATCTTTTTTTTCTGCTGGATTTGTTCTGTAATGAATTGTTTTTGCCCCGCGATGCACAGACCATTTCATTGCCCCTCTATTAGTATCAATCGATATCCCCGATGGAAGCTTATAAATGCCTAGTATTTATAGTATGTATGAGGTAGCTAGATAGGATTCTCAAATGTTGGGGTTTCATTTTCACATTCATTTTCATATGGAATACAGAGATGAATACACACATGCATATGCATATGAATAGATTCTGATTTAGTTTGAACATATTGAGTAACAAGAGGAAAACAAACAGATTCCTTGTGTATTGGGATCGGATAAGAGGTACATCTGTAAAGCGGGAGGATGACCGGTGTGACTCCTCGGTAGACACTGTCGGTATTGTATATTATGAATATGTGATTTGAAACTTTATTTTATGTTTCCCATTAATGGTTTATCTAGCATATATCGTATATTCTCCACTTCCCTCTCATTATCGTGGAGAGATTCTGCAGGCCTGTCTTGCTCCTGCTTGTGCGGAAATGGACAGAGAGATTTGATAAGAATTATCCCAGAGGGTGATGGGTAGGTAATGTGATTTTTTGATTGGTGAGATAACATACATGAAAAAAATCACATATGAAAGAGGTGATAAGAATTCTACCTTGAAATATCCAGAAAAGAGTTGGGGAAAAGAGGAGATGAATGGTAGATCCCACGATTCCCAATTTGAATCACGTCAGGTCAATGCATACATATACTTGGTAGATATTCCTGATATTATAAAAATGTATCTAAATTGAACTTTCTTCCTCTCCAGATTCACATTGATGTTCCTCCACCATATAGCATATCATATCCCCAAAAGACTGTTTGAATTAAACAGTCCACTAATAACTCTCACTCCTATCCCCAATCCGGATTCCTAATCCCCTCTTACCCTCAACAGACACTTTCTCTCTCCTGTCCCCAATCCCTTTCCATCCTCTCCTACACCCCTCCCATTCACTCCTCACCCCTCCACACCATCCTCCTCCCCCTTCCCACCCGACTTCCCCTCCCCTCCTCCAAACTCCAAACTTCCCCAACGCCGAAATCTCACACTCAAGCGCCTCAAACTTCCCTGCTCTTCTGCACACGAATTATGTTTCTGACAGCTATCTACTACTTGAAAACCGCCTGTTGAAAGTGCATTTACTGTATGAACGGAAACGAGCACGAAGAAAATGGTGGTGAAGAGGAGGAAGAGGGATGGAGTGTGCATAGTGATGCGATATGGTGTGATGTGTTGACGATGTGAGTGTGTTTTATATGGTGGTTGAAGTAGAGGCCCGAGAGTGGAAGAGTTTTTGATGCGGGTACGTTAGGTGTATTGATGTTATATTGTTTGCTCTAGGTTTGTGATTTAGTATCGTGAGTTGCGGGTAGGGGTAGTTTGTTACTGGATCTCGTGTAGTGATTTGTAGCTCGTTGTCCCGGGACCTAGGCCTTCCAGTTTGTGGTTGAAAGAAAGAGAGGGGACAATTGGAATGGCGGGAAAGAGAGGCATATTTATGATTATAAAATTGCAATCTTACGTAGAATGACTGGATCGTGATGCAAGCGCTGAATGGAAATAGGCGATTCTTGAATCTAAATCCATACTGCAAAACTTAGTCACCAGGTCTAACTTTATGATATCAAATACTCGAATGCTGAAATCATCAGTTGATTCCCAGCTTGTAGTTTGTCTTTACGAGCGCTTGAATTGGAGAGAACCTTCTATGCTTTCTCGTGAATCATCGTTCAACTCGGTGATAAATTCAGAGGAAATGATCCTTGGTATCAATAATTCTTACCTGATATCATTTTCTTAATAGGAGTGATTCGAATTCAAACAATTAGCTTTAAATACCACTCAATGGTGATTAGGAAAGTCAATCCCAAGGTAATTTAGCATATCTTAAATTTTGGGTAGACTGTGTCAACACCAAGAGAGCCCTGCGTTCAAAACGTGGAAATCTAAGGTCTACGTCTGGATTTACAAGAGAGGGGTAATGATCTCATCCGTATCTTCCACGGCGGTATACTTCCTCCAATGTCGAGGAAAGGACTGAAGAATAAATCAACAAGCAATGGGATCCGCGCAAGATAAGGTATCAGAGCAGTCAACTGCGCGCTGTAAAGTCAAGCTGGAATTGGTGGAAGAAAACAAAATCGAAGGATCAATGCTTAGGATAGTGACAAAGAGAAGAATGAATACAAAGCTCTACCAACGGAAACTCTAGACACCATTATACTCCACTGGTGCAACTGATGATCTGGCGCTAAGTGAAAAATCATTTGCAAATCGTAGTTTACGCAATAAAAGTACGACGCTAATACTTCTCACAAGAAAGACTAACAACACGGGTTCATAAGAAGTTACAGAACCCGATCCGGTAAATCATCAGTTTATCGGCGAGTGTTATTCGAATGAGAGGGTGAATGTAGAGTCAAAATCGCTCCAAAAAGAGGAAAATCCAATAATAATCCCTCTTATATTTGAACTTCGGTGAAGCAGCTTCCATTTATGCATCGATGTTCAAATAAAATTGTCTTTCACTAGACGCAGTCCCTTGCGGTATGTATCCCCTGCTGTGTAGCACTCAGCTATATCGGAAGGCAATCAGCCTTCAAAGTCGATCTTCAAGGTCCAATTAGAACACGATGTTCTTCATATATCATCCACTTCTCGAATGTCAAACCCAAATAATCCGTTACTCGTTGCACTACTCTCATCGATCAACTTCTGAGCAGTTTCTACACCGGCAGTTGGAACTCGATATTCGAATCGCTTTCCCTTGGCAGGCAATCGGCCATCTGGAAGAGGATATGGGAATGGAAGATACTCGGGTAAGAGACCGAGCTGACGGAGGGCAGTGGCTTGGTCCCAGGCAATATGCTCATGGTATAAACGATCGCCACGAACATTCACAACAGAGGTGAATGGAATTCGTGCATATTTGTGAGTTGGCGGGACTCCAGGGAGGCTGTCAGAATGTCAATTCAAAGTTCATGTCACATTTCGAATGTGACTCACATCCAATCTATCACTCTATCATGCGTAAAACTGAAAACAAATTCATCAACAACTCGGTCAACACCAACAGTCCTGCTAACAAGTTCGAGCTTGGTATCTTCCGGATTATTAAAGACGAAGTGATTAGTATAAAAATCTGTTAGAGGTCCTCTTCCAATCCCACCAGTCATCTAGGGTAAAAGTATTAGTATAAAGATCAGGCAGTCACTAGATCACATACTGTTGGAATATGATTTACATATGGCTGATCAACCATAGTACCCATTGTTTTCCCAACATTCCGTTCACCAAATTCATAAAGTGTATGCTCATCCCAAATCGCCTCAAGATCAAAGATAGGTCCACCTAGGTGTTTTTTGATGAAACCAAGACTTCTTGTATGGGCCACACCCGCGTTCCCTGGATCATAGTGATCATGACTAGGGAGGATAAAGCTTGTGGTCTTTGTTGTGGCATATACGTGAGAGATGTCTTCACTTCTCAATTGTGGACCTTGTAAGGCAGAGGAGCTGTGAACCATCAATGGAGGTACAGATTTATGCGTAAGTTTTGCAGTCAGTTGTTTGGTATCATCAGTGAAGAAAATTGCGACCGAGAATACTTCTTCGAGTAACAAGTTCAAGACAGAATCAGTGTGGATGTTTTCATTCAAGTTTTCAGCATAGACTAAATGAGAAAACATATTGTCAGCTACACAACGTACGTGATCTGTACATTGTACTGGGCACAAATCAACATGGAAACATACTAATGAGTCCCAATTTATCAGAATCAGTACATTCTGGTGAAGACTTTAGAGCTTTTATACCCGACTCCAGGTAAGCTTGCAAATCAATATCACCAGCTTTCAGTGTATCCTTGGGAATTGTAACATTCACGACAACAAAACTTTCTTCTGCCCATTTTTGAATGGGCTCTGGATCAAGTGTCTTCCGATCCGTTCGTGAAGTGTAACTTTCTGGTGTTAGGATTAATAATCCTGGACCTCTACCTCTTCTCGATAGCGGTTTTTGAATAGTCAATCGATCACCCAGATGACGAGGTTGTGAAACCAACTCTTTTTCCGTGGTATTCATTTTTCACCGTGGTATGAAATGATTGATTTTGGGAATAGTGATACACTTGAAGACTTTTTGGGTGGTGTTGAACTCCTGGGAGCGGATGAAGCATGGGGAGGAGAGCATGAGAAATACTAGCTAGGAGCTCGAGACCAAGTAACCTCAACACGTGCCTCAGGTAATCTTATCTTACGAAGAACTGTTCATATCAATATGCTGTCAACGGCAACCTCGAAATGCTGATATCGCAATCATAGTCGAATCTCACGTGATGTTCATGGTAGCTTTTGCTGGCGTTTTCATTACTGGACTGGGTTGTATCACTCTCTTCATCGTCAACTTCTGATACACTGTACTGTGCATTGTGCTTGTCCATACTAGATACGAGATAATTCTAGTAACACCTAATAGTTTCCACGGCATTTCCTTGGACTTCCCTTTATTCATTGCATGAGATCAAGTTTTGCCAATTCTTGAATCTTTTCCTACAATTGTAAGATCTTATCGTGTATTTGACATGGAGTGGCCCAGCCAGATGTGCTCAGACTTTTTTTCTTCACTCTACCTTTTGCAATCTCCTATGACGTCATTTGGCGTTTACTCCCCGCCATATCGTAGCTTGCTAACAATGGACCACCATGTTCTGCGATGCCGGTATGTGCCTACCCTACCTACCTACCTACTTACCTACCTACCTCCCCACCTAGTCTCTCTTCAAAACAAAATAAACAATACTGGCGCCAATACTTACTAGTAACTTTTTTTTTTACTCGAAAATCAGGACAATACAGGGGAAAAAGCATAAATATACCGGCCTAGGTAACGGCTTGATCTTTCAACGAAACCCTGCATTCATCATCTTTCAAGGGTTCCGGAACTTTAACTCTCTTCACGGTCATGTTAATGTTCATAATTCTTCATCGAGAATTCAACAACCTTCACAACAGAACATGCGATTGATCGTTCTGGTCAACATCAAGATCAACCACAATTACGAATAATATCCCATCACTGCCTTCGCACGGAAATTCAGAATGGATGACAGAGACAAGGACAAGGAAAGGGACACAGTCAATCCAAAGAGGCGGCGGGGTCTTGGTATTGTAACTCCAAATGCTTGCACAGAATGTAGAAAGAAGCGTGCAAAGGTATCTATTTACAGTATTTATTTCTATCAATTCAACCTTTATTGCCTTCACTCAAGTTCGCAAATAGTGTCTTTTGTCAATGCTAACATTTTTTGATTTTGTAGTGTGATGGCGAAACTCCTTGCGCAAGATGTGCATCTCAAAAGAACGTCGAATGTGTCTACGAAGTTCCCGTACGTCAATCAAAAGAGAATATGAGATCGGAAATCGAACACCTAAAGGCTTATCAACAACAAAGTGAACGTGTGCTTGCTGCTATCGCTTCACAGGATCAAACCGCGCAAGTAATCGATCGACTTCGGCAAGGGGAAGGATTAAAAAGCATCGCGGACAATTTGCAAACTCCATCGCAGGTTTCATCGGCTGAAGGAGGAAATATCACGACATATACAAGTTTTACAGATCATCAAGCAATCGGGAATGCGCTCAGGCCGGTTAGAGGAATCATAATGGCTCCATTCACATCATGGGGAAGAAGTGGTTTGCAAGGACCAACTGCCGACTTTCAACAGGGGGAAATGCAAGGAATGTGGAATCAATGGCCTGATACTCACAACATATCATCCGGTATCGCAGCTAGTGATGACTTGATGAATTGGCAGACAGAACCCGCTAATCTGCCTGAGAATCATGATCATCCGGCAATTGGGGGTACCTGGCCGGAGGAAGCATCCAATCATTCAACTCCGAATAGTACAGTACTATATGCTAGAGGTCAAGGTCAAGAAACGATTCTCGGTCAAGGAATTGGTTCGTTACGGGAAGATAGTCCCACCGTTCCACCCGCATCATGGACTAAAGTTACATCGGATTCTGAATTCGTAGACCATCTTATGGCACTATACTTCTGTTGGGAATATCCCACATTCGCCTCTTTGAGCAAGGAGCATTTTCTTCATGATTATAAGACCGGAAAAACGGAGCATTGTAGTGAGCTACTAGTGAATGCGATATTGGCTTTAGGATGTCGATTCTCTGCTAATGTAAATGCAAGAACTGATCCTCACGATAGTGGTACTGCTGGTGGACATTTTTTTGCCGAAGCTACTCGTTTGCTTAAATTGGAAAAAGACCAACATTCTTTAACAACAATTCAAGCATTGGGTCTGATGGCAATTAGAGAGGCTAGTGGAGGCCGCTCCAGTGCAAGCATTTATCTTTCAGGGCAGTCGCTTCGATTGGCAATTGAGATGGGTCTCCATCTTGAAGCAGAGGGGCAGCTACCTAGTCAACCAGTAGAGGGATCACAAGCCGTACGACTAGCCACATTTTGGGGAGCCTTCTCCTTAGATCAGTAAGTTTGGATTCTATTTTCGATCAAGTTTAGGCATGGATTTATCTATGAGGGTTCTGATGAGTAAATGCTGACACAGTATAGAGCTTGGTCTTTGACTATTGGGCGAGTACCTCTATTCTCACATATTACCCAGTTGAATGTAAAGCCAGCAATAGTCAGTTCAATTGAAGCATCTGCGTGGATTCCATATACAGATGATGGTAAATTCTATACGATCACATTTACTTTGGGATACTCTTGCTGACACATCTAGGAGCACCACTTGAACGTAATTGTACTCAACCATCGAATATTAGAAGTGTATACGCAACTTTTTGTGAGCTTTCTGAACTAGTTCACCAATCTTTGTATCTTTTCTATGCCCCTGGCTCCAATGTCAACAGCAATTCGTTGCTCAAATTATATACTAAGTTTCTCCGATGGTATGACTCGATTCCTGCCGCTCTACGTTTAGGACATAACTTCACACCATCTGTATTATTCTCACAGTAAGTCTCAAAGTAGACCATGTATAAAAAAATTCACGTGCTAATGAGGTATTCCTAGTATGTACTATCACTATACCATCTTACTTTTGTTCCGCCCCTTTATCAAACTTTCTCTGATCGGATCAGAAGTCTCGCCTCGTGATGTTTGCAATCAAGCTGCAGATGCAATTTCTGCCCTCACCAGCTCCTACGCTCAGCTTTACACGCTGAGGCGTACTCCCTCTTTTGTACCTCACTTTATCCTCGCCTCAAGTATTACCCATCTCGTGACACTTGGTAATGCAAAGACCGGCGTGGAGAAAGTCACTCAAGGAATTGCAGATCTTAGAGAAATGGCTAGCTGTCATGGATTTGCTGCTCGCGCCTGTAATATCCTTCGTCATCTGGCTAAGAAATGGAATATTGAAGTCCCTGATGATAGCCAAGAACCAATAGAACCTGATGTCTTCGATGCCCAAGCTCGACCTTCTCCCAATTCTCTCAATCAATTTTGTACACAGGTTGATGAGGCGGATATGATGCGCGGTATTGGTTTGGCAGGGGAAGAAGAAAATCCTCTCTTTTGGCCTTTCCCTATGCAGGGAAGACCATTAATGCAATATGCTGGAGGTAATTTGGGAAAGTTGGGATTCGAGAGGTTAAAAAAATGAGTGGAAATCTGGAATCGTGGTTATGGATTTGTAGGAGAAACTAGATTGGACTGGGCTAGGCTAGGCTAGACAAACACTTCGTTTTGTATCAAGAAGGCGGATAGGATATGGAGTATTGATGGAAGAGGAGATGGAGACCGAGTCAGATATATTTCATGGGTACAGTGGGTACAGCGGTGGGAATGGATGGCATGAGAATATGATACCTCGGAGGCGTTTTGTCTTTCTCGCGGAATTAACACATGACGGGTGGGTTGGAGAGGGCTTTATCAAGTATGAGAAATGAAATGGGATGGAATGGCATTTACAGAACTCGGTAATCAATCAATCATACTTCAAGGGAATAGTATCTCTACTAAACCCACTTCATACGTATGGCTTTATTGCTCTCTCTAATCTTAATTCATAGAGTCGAATTGAATCATTGGCATTTTATTAACTCCATGTGCCTAGATACCTATGGTTTTGTGGTGAAGAACTTATTGGTTTTACGTGTATAAGATTACTTCTCATGTAGATGTGCATGATGATCATGAGGATAAGAATAACACTCATATTCTGGAGTGTGATCTTTTCCAAAGGGATATATGGATATTGATCTACTGGATCAAATTAATTACCCAGTATACGGAGTACACAGTGCATATATACATACATATACATAGGTACATACATACATATATAAGTACATACATATATACACATACACATACACATATCACTTACACGAATAAACCAGCATCATAAAAATAATAGAAATAAAAACATCACTCACATACCATCACCATCACCATCACCATTGCACTCATTCATCCATCCATGCATCACATAAATCCCATACAATGTGAAAGTAGAAAATTCCTATTCATTAAACACATACACATATGCAACTGCAACTGCAAGTATCTATGCACATATGCACAGCACAGCACAGTACAGTACAGTACAGTACAGTAAATCTCATCATCTCATCTCATCTCATCTAATCACCTCTTCCCATCACATGCATACATAGGTATTCAACGTTGCAACTTCCATCTTCCACCTTCCACCACCCACCCATCCACCCCATCCCCCTCCAGCAAAACCAAGCTTCCACACATAAACAAGAAAATCGACATCACCAGCGCTCTCCTCTATCCAGAGCACATATCGAATCGGATCGAAATTGAATTGAATTGAATCTGTCATGATGCAGATCAAAAAGCACAAAATGACTTCTTTTCGCGAGATGACTATCATACATACAAGAAATAGATAGACAGATAGACAGACAGATAGACAGATAGACATACTGGGTAATTTTTGCCGCTGCAACGCAAGAGCCAATGAGAGCAAGCGGAGTAAAGGAGGAAACATGAGATGAAAGTCGAGATGAAGAAGGAGAATTAAGAGAAAAAAAGAGTCATAAATCAATCAAACATCCCAATCGATCTCTCAATCACCCAGCATATCTTCATCCTCATCCTCATCAGCCACATCACCATTTTCGTCGGCATCTCCTTCTCCTTCTCCCTCAACTTCTTCTTCTTCGTCACCACTGACATCCTCGATTAATTCTCTCCTCTTCAAGTCTTCCCTTGATCCCTCTTCTGGTTCAGCATCCGCAAAAGGATCATCATCTTCTTCCTCTTCTTCGTCTTCATCCTCCAATTCCAACCTAAGAGCTTCTTTCTTTGCCAGTGCAGCTGCCTCTGCTGCTGCTTGTTGAGCCTTACTCTTGTGACTTTTCTTGACCTTTTCCTTAGGTTCATCAAGATACGCAACCACTTCCTTGAAATTATGACCCAATCTGTTTCTATTCCTCTCAATGCGTTTACGTAATTTTCCCTTCATAGGTCCCGAGGCATCAATAACTTTTGCAAGGATAGCCAAGATAAGTTTTCCAGTCAATTCACAAAGTTGTTGTTCAGCCTTGAGAGTTTCACTTTGTCGTTCATGTTCTGTGACTTCCTCATCTTCGTCATCTGAGTCTTCGGGTTCATCTTCCGGAGCTTCGTCATCATCTGGTTCTTCTAAACGTTTCTTGGCTTTTTTCGCATAGTGTTTCTCGGCATGGTCAAAGATGGAGGTTAATTCCGTTTGAGCTTCTGGAGAGATTTGTTTAAAAAGGGATTGAAGGTTCTCGGATTGATTTTGGGGATCTTTCTGTCCAACGACAGTAGCTTGAGGTCGTAGAGTGGCGAATAAAACGTGAAGATCGAGAAGAGTGCCAGTTGCAAGTAAACGGACTGGATCAAGGGTACCTCGAGAAGACAAAGCGGCGACAAGATTTTGAATGAAGGTTTCTTGACAATCTTTGAGAGAATCGATATCAGCGTCTGGTATCTCTTCACCTGATGAGATTGATCTTGTCAACGAATGTACTTTCCACATGAAATAAAACATGGCCGAGCGAATAGCCGATATAACAATTTCATCCTCTTGAGCATCAATATCTGGATTTGATTCCTCAAGTTGACCTCTTGCAACGACGTACAAAATGATACTGATAGGAGATGGGGTTTGACTATCAACTTCGGCTTCGAGAATTTCAACACAATTTGAAATACTTGCAAGCTTTTCCACCTTTGAAAGATTGGCCGAAAGCTCTACAAGAATTGAGTCTGTGAAATCTCCTCTAACAGATATTTCACCAGCTTTGTTGATGTTTTGAAGTATATTTGTGGTATCCTCCCATAGTGTTTGGAGTTTGCTTTCTGTGACATCTTCAAACTCTTCATAACTTCGTGCATGTAATATTGCTGCACTGGCTTCAGTAAGAACATTCTTGTCAGCGTGGCCACTGAATTGAGCAGTGATCTCATCAAGTAATTTGGCATATCCCGTTGAACCTTGTCGTAGTTCTTGAAAGACACCAAGGTTCAAAGAATGTTCCAGGCGTAAGACGGCAGTTGCAGTTTTTGGGTGAGCGCCGAATTTTTTGAGTAATCTTGGAATGATATCTGCTAAATGACGAGCTGTTGTCTCTTTGATCTCTGCTGATTCGGCTCTAGCATTTCTCTTCTTATTTCTATCTCGTGATTTTTCTGGCTCACTGAGTTGGTTTAGATTAAGCTTGACCACTGCATTCAATGTCTCTAGCAGAATAATCTCCTCGGTCTCTTCTGGTTTGAAACATTCCCTCAATGCTCGATTGGTGCCCTTGCCTTTGGGATTAGAAGAATGATCGTGAAGTAGGTAACCGGCCAAAACTTCCCATTCTTTGAGCTCAGGCATCTTCTCATATAATGCTTGAGCCGCAAGGGTAAATCTTGATTCCCCACTGGAAAGGTCTAGATAATGTTCGATAGTCGTTTGATCTATTTGATTGGGCATCTCATCCTCGTCAGAAATATCATAATTTTGTAGAACCTCTGCGAGACACTTGAGTTTAATCCAGCTAGCACGAGGCGAATCGTAATCATCATCGTCAACTGTCAAAATCTCCTCCAAGGCATCTTCTCCACCCAGTTGCTCAATTTTTTCATCGAACACATCTTTAACATTCTCAACAAAAAATGCAACAACAGCTTTGCGTACTTTGGGTTCCGAGTCGAAAATGAGTTTCCCAATGACATCAATATCATCTGGTTCTAGCATTCCTCCCTTTCGAAGCATGTCAACCAAATCAACTGCATTTGACCGAACAGCAGAATCCGAATCTCTTGTGGCGATTTCAATGATCCGAGGTCTAAATCGTTCGATGAATGTACCCATTTTTGAAACATTGCCAGAATTCTTCAAAATTCTTTGTAGTTGTTTAACCACTTCGAGTCGCATAGTTGAAGCCGAATCTGTAAGCATCCATCCCAGATATCGTAAATATTGCCCATCGAACCAATAACCAGGTAGGGTGTGAATCCAAAGACCTAGTGCTTCAATGCATTCTGTCCGGATTTTCGGGTCAACATCTCGATATCTGTGAACCCAAATTGTATCGAAAATATCCTTCAATCGTTCTTCTAAAATCTCCTTCTTGCCTTCTCCTTCTCGAACCTTCCTCTCAAAGTCTGCCAGTCTACCTTTGTTGGGTCGTTTGTTTTTCTTTTCTCCTTCGAGTTGACGTAAAGTTCTTGCAGCGATTTCGATCTGTTCCTTCGCGACTTGACAGGTAGAAGTGGCAATAGTTAAAGCAACGGCAGTCGCAGTATGTCTGAAAGGTCGTAGGTTCGAAGACGACATGGAAGCCATCCAATGAAATATGCTTTCCATTAAGGGTTCGTCCTCATCATAAAGTGCTCCAGATGCATTCATTGTTTTGTTCAAAGAGTCGAAGAAATCAAGGAAAGAGGTACGAAAGGCGTGGCTATTCTTCGCTCGTGAGATTAATGGATAATCGGATATATTTTGCTACCACATAATCAGCATAGTTAAATCCAAGAAATGTGACAAAACCTACTGCTTGGTGTTCTTCTTGAAGGTCTGCGATCTTCCCATTAACATTATCTGCATCGTTAACATCATCCTCGTTGACAACAAGGTCACAACCAGCACTCTTCAATACGAAATTTACCAATTCTGCCACAGCTCCAGGACCATTTTGTGCATATTTATCCAGGAAGTTAGAAACAATCTCATCTGATGGTCGCCCACTCGTATAAACATCAGCTATAAAAGAAGTCAGTACAAGTTAATAATAGGATCATGATTGCTCATGGCGCATACCATAAAGTCCTTCAGCATCCTCATCTGCTAAGACGACTGTCTTTGCTTTTTTGGGTCGATTTGGCAATCTTACAGCAGGCACTCTGGCATGTGAAGCTGTGCCATTTATTTTTGGTTTCTTTGCTGCAGGTTTCTTGGAAGTTCTGGCTTTCCTTCGAGCTTCTTTTAATTCTTCTTCCCCCGCACTCTCTTCCTCTAATTCATCGTCCTCATCTTCTTCTTCCACTTCTACTTCTTCTTCCTCTGACGCGTCATCTTCTCCTTCTTCATCGGATCTCTTCCTTTTGGCATTTGTGGAACGAATTGCGGATGATGGTAAATCTGGAACGAATTTCTCGGGTGCTTTTACGGCGCGTCCTGATTTCCTTCTACCAGATACGACTGGTGTGCTTGACACATCATTTTCGATCTCCATGAGTGGCAATCGTTGAGTATTCATCAGCGCATCAATTGCGCATTTGATTGAAATTTAAAGAATAAATTTGGGGTGATATGGCGCGTTTGGTTGTAAGTTGTGATTTAATGTTGATGTATCGCGAGAATTGAATGAATATCGCGTTTGAACGTTTCTGATTGGATTTATTAGCGCCACTCAGCTTTTTTTAAGGCCTCCAACGCTTATTTTCAAGCCTCTTCAGCATGTAGGTACGGTTACAGCCTGTCTACATGTATGTATGTATGTATGTATGTATGTATGTATGTAGGTATCCATGGATGTATCCAGCTCCCGCTTTCTTTACCTTACCTTACCTTGCCTTGTCTTGTCTTGTCTTGTCTTGTCTTGTCTTGTCTTGTCTTGTCTTGTCTTATCTTCTCTCCACTTCAATGGGGTAAATATTATGAGAAATTATTTATCGGAAAGATAATAATAATTTTATAAGTTACTCTCCCCCCCCCCCCTTCTCTCTCTCTCTCTCTCTCTCTGTGTGTGTGTGTACAGTTTGAAGGATGCTTTGCTTTCTACGAGTACCAAGTCAAAATTATCCAAAGTTATCCTTTCACCAGCTCTACCAATTCTACCAGTTCTAAAATGATACGATAACAACATATTCCTTCCGCCATACTTTTCATCCTTCACCAGAGCTTTACTTGACCTCTCAATATGCTATCTCCTTTCCCCCCTTCATCGTCTGCTCCAGGCGAGGGGCATTTGGTTGCTCACTTACTACCTCATTCAATCTCCGCTCTATCAAGAATGACTTTTCAATACCCACTAAAATTGATATCTCCTTCCCCTTCAGCTGAACAAAAGAGCGTCCTGGTCTTTCTTTTGACATATGGTGGAGGCCTTGTCGGCGGGGATCAAGTTCATCTCAAGATAGATGTCAATCCAAATGCAAAGTTGAGTATCGTTACACAAGGTCATACCAAGATATTCAAATCGCCAACACGTGATATTATTACACGTCAACATTTACAAGTTACCATTGAGGATGGTGCGTCTGTTTGTTTATTACCCGATCCAGTTCAACCTTTCGCAGAAAGTGTATATGAACAATCACAAACTTTCAATCTCAAAGAAGGCGGATCCCTTTGTTTATTAGATTGGGTTTCAGCTGGGAGAACTGCAAGAGGGGAAAATTGGGATTTACGAGCATGGAGTGGACGAAACGAAATTTGGTCGATAGGAAAGGATATGAAGAAGAGGCTTCTGCTAAGAGATAATGTCTTGTTAGAAGGGGATGAAGCAACAGCCCAAGAGAAATTACTACGGCATAAAATGCGCGGGAATGGTATATTTGGTACATTGATCCTGAAAGGTCCTTTGGTCGAGAAGCTATCTGCATTCTTCTTGTCTGAATTTGCTGCACTTCCCAGAATTGGTGCCAGGGATTTTCGTTCTGATGATAGGAAAGAAAAAGATAGCGAGATTGTTCTATCGAGAGAAGAATCATGGAGACTTCGACGACTTCAACAAGAAAGGAATGAAGATATTCTTTGGTCCGCTGCCAAAGTGAGAGGATGTACAGTGGTAAAATTTGGGGCTCCAACTGTTGAAAGTGGCCGAGTATGGATTGGTGGTATGATCAAAGAAGAATGTAGTATATCTGAGATCTTTGGAGAAGATTCATTGATGTGTGTCCGCGAATGAATACGGTGGACTTGAATTGGATAAGGATTTAATGCAGCCGGGAGGATTGACTGATATATCACGCCCATATGTACCGAAAGTCTTTATACAGGTGGAAACCTTGAAAGGATTTGCCCGATGTGTAACATGGTGAGAGAATGCGAGGAAGTTCTTGCCGCACAAACTCGAGCCCTGTCTCCAAATAAGCACCATTGAATCAGTTCTGTGCGTGCTGCCTTTGAAACGTTTTGGAAGTTGGAACTCAGGAGATACATAGTGGGTTTGCTATAAACTTCGTTTGAACTTTGAAGAGATATCATTGTTGGTCATGATAATAACCAGCCATCTAGATACACAATACAAAGTCGATACCATGATGGGGGGATTGTTAATGCAAATCTACCCGAGCCTCAAAGCCTTCCTTGTCAGCCATTACATTTCTCCATAAATTTCCTTGAGCATAGCACATCTGTGAAGCTTGTAATGAGACAAAAGTTTCGGTGCCTGGGTACAGCCAGTCTTTCATCGCAAGAAACAAAGCAATATAAAACGTTTTGGTCACTGCATCCGGCTGTATGATTTAAGGAAGGCAATGCTATCCGAGCATTGATCCATTTCCATCCGAAAGCTCATGTTCTGAAACACCAGTCGAACCTCTAGGACATCGACTATGACCAAATCAAGCTTGGTTCTTCGATTAAGCCATGTCGGCACGTGACCATTATTGTCGATACTTTCGGTTTTGCCGATAATTTATTTGCATTGATTTCAGACCAAACAAAACACAAAACAATTGCTAAACAAGAGGGATGAGCCGCAAAGAATTGTTACAAAGGTAAGTAATGCAGTATCAAATAAGATCTCCCGACCTACCAATGCGGCGCAGTCCTTGGACCTCGACACAATTTTAAACGCAAATTCACTTCTTTGGGCGTTTGCAACTTGATGAGATTCAGGTTTTGAAAGCTTCGACCAGTTGTGAGAGGTCTGTTGTTTGAATATCGAAAAGATCTACAATATTCAATTACTTGATTGCTTCAAGGGTCCCAAGTATCAGATACCGACCGGCAAAGCATTATCACATTTTTCACACAAACTCACAGAGTCATGGATTAATTCCAGGCCTTTCTCCATGCTCCATTGAAACTCCACATTGATCGCCATAGCAATTACTGATTGGTCGATGGGGACCATTTAGCAAGCTTAATTCGACATCAACACTATTTTGGAAACTACTGTCCTGGAAAGGGGGCAATACGACGGGCCGCCTCCGGTATTCCAAGTCCAGTTCAAAGCAACTTCTCGTCTAACAAAATTCAAATACTGCATTTTGGGTAACATGACTCTTAAGAGTTGTGGTATGCCGGGTGGAATAAGGTTACTGATGATTCCTGACAAGTTTTGATCAGTAAGCGTGTAAACTTGCAAAGGCAAGACTTCAAAACTTGCAGTTCTTTCTCCAGTCTTTGCTTCTATTGGAATTAGTCTAGTGACAATATTTCAAACCAACATAATGTTTTGAACGTCTCAAATGAAATCAGCCTTAGCCATATGAGTTTTCACCCCTTCAGTTGAGTGTGGCTTTGGAAACGTGCACAGACAAGATCATATGAAGAAACCTGTCCCTGTTTGACTACATCTGCCAAGAAGCATACAAACTCCGATGCGACCTGTCGAGGCGAAAACATTTCCTGTTTCGATACTCCTCAAGAATCAAATCATCAGTCAAAAATTATCGTACTCCCTGGATGCCTTCTCCGCAGTCTGTCTCGTAGATCCACGGGCGGTCCATTTTACCTGGATGTTAGGACTACAATGTTACTATGGCAAAGAGTTTAGACCTTTTTATCTAGTGTGAATTATCTATCATCCGGTCGTGGCAATTACTCCACTATTTTGCTACTATGTTGACAAGATGGTTAAACCTTTGATTGTTTGTATCCACAATATGTCGGATAAGCTCTGTGCATCAGGAACGGAGGTTGAGCACAGACTTCGCATCGCTTCCCATTGTCCTCCTTCTCTTCGCATTGAGTCCAGTATGGAACTTTGGACCGCTCTTGGCAAGTTTCTCATGGATACTATCTCCCGTAGTATGGAAATTGGTCTGATCATAGTACTCTGGAGTCGATTTGCCTGTGATCAAGAAACTATTAAAGGAACTGAATGTCCCTCCGTTTACAATTCTCTCCTCAGCATCAACAGTTTTTCAGTTTCTTTCAATCTTCCAATTATCTTTCATTTCCAGCCGCATACTATTGACTAGTATCCCGCTTTATACATCTTAAATCTTTAATTCTCAATAAACCTTTTAAAAACCAACCAACCAACCCAAATCAGCAAATATGCGTTATACTATCGCCGTCGCCGCTATCATCCCTCTCGTTGCCGCCCATGGCAAGATCGCAGTCATGGTTAGTACCCTATCTCATCTCTTCTCATCTGATGATTCTTCTTTCATCATGTCCACTTCCAATTATTCATACTAACTCATTATTTCAGACTGGTGACATGGGAGGAAACACCACTGGTCTCGGTATCCAAGGTGCCGTCATCCCTGGTGCCGGAACCAACAAGCAAACTGAGGTCGACACCACTGTCTTCAACAGCAAGAACGCCGCTACCGACGGTCTTGGAAAGACAAAGGCTGGTGCCAACACCATGGCTGACATGACTGCTGTCATGGCTGCTTCCGGTTCCACCCTTCCTCAAGTTTCCGATGGAGGTCAGCTCAGTGGAACTATCCACATCGTCACCACTGATGGAGCTGGACCATACTCTGCCATTGTCGACCCAACTGGTACCGGTGCCTTCTCTCAAGGTACCCAAGCCAAGGTTACTACTCAAGTACCAGGTACCAAGGGTAACATCGCCGCACCCAAGCAACGTTCCCTCGTCATGAGATCTCTCGTCAACATGGGTATCGTCAAGCGTGCCAAGAACGTCAACGAGGACTACCCCATCGCCGTCTCCATGCCAGCAGGCATGTCCTGCACTGGATCCGTCGGTGGTCAAGAGAATGTCTGCTTGGTCAAGCTTGCTAACCCATCGGGCGCTGGTCCTTTCGGTGGTGTCGCCGCTTTCCAAATGGCTGGTGCTTCAACCGCTGGTGCTGCCGGTAATGCTACCGCAGCTACCACCAAGAGATCCATCGGTGCCAAGTTCCGTGCTTAAATCTTTCGCAAGAATCATTTAGGATTACGGTAGTTGGTGTCGGGATTCATACCAGGAGTTGAAGGTCAGGATTAGAAATCGGGGAAAGGATCTTGTGGGGATGGGATGGAGCGGTGGAGAATTTTCATTTGTTACATATTGGGGTTGTCCTTGGTTGTTGGAAAAAAAGAAAGAGATATACTACTCTTACATTTTCATATTGTATCTAGTATAGCCACTCCTTTATAAACTTAATGTTGATGCTCTTGCTGGTCAAAAAAAAACTCTAGTCTTCTCTTGCAAATTGATTGTGAATTGTGATGATTTTTCTTTCTGCTACTTAATCCATACTGATTGGATTTCGTTATACTCATTTAAAGTGTTTTTGAATTCTCTCCTTGACCGAAATTGAAAGTTCTTCTACCTTTCATATTGTTTCCCGTGAAGCTAATCCATATGCACACCTATTCCTCGAAAACTATCATCGCCCCTCTCATCCTTCACAGCGCAGCGCAGCAATATTTAATATGAGCTCATTCTCAAGATTTAATAATAAATCACACAACTCTAATTATTTATCTTTATTACCAATTTGAATACTGTTCCTCTCTTGGAGTATCAAGTGTTAATTATCAATTATCAACTATCAAATATGAAACATCAAGTATGAACTCGAAGAAGAAATCCATCTATCAACCCTCGTTATTGAAAATTTGAAATATTGAAAACTGGAAATCCAACGGTAAGAATAAAAAGAGATAGATAATACGAATTGCGGTGTTTTAATTTTATTATGGGAAAATGATGAAGAATTTGTAGTTTTGGATGATGTATTCAAGTTTCTAGTTGGAGGTTTTTGATGGGCAGGAAAAGATTTGAGGGTAGTTGGTTATATTTGTGTCGTTTGATTTCTGTTTGTGTTTCTGTTTTAATTATGTTTTAATTATTTTCTCTATCTCTATCTTTCAACGTCTCCCCCTCGTTTCTATAAAACTCCCTTTCAATATGTACGCGGATTCAGAAAATTCTCCTTATCACTCTGTCTTATACATGTATCGCTCCTGATATCAATATCCTTCAAACCTATCTCCGCTCCCTTTCCCCTCAACATCCACAAATCTTTCTCTATAACTGCAGATTTATTCCACGACTTCAAATTTGTCTCCCCACCTTAGCTCTTTCTCCTCTCCCTCTCCATTCCTCTACTCTCCCCATTACCCTCGTTATACACGATCTCTCAACAACCCCTAAACTATCAGAAACACCATAACCAAACAAACCACTAACTCCACTGTCAAATCAACCAATACAAAAATATCACTCCAATCCCCATCCCATCCGATCCCATCCCACCCATCAACAGATGATTCGCGAAAAAAAAAAGAAAAACACCATACATATCAACCCCTCTGTTAGCATCCCCATACTCCCCTTCTTGTCAAACTCAAAAACATAATCATCTCATCAATCCAGTCCCATCTTCACTCTCCTCAGGTTCCCAATTCTCAATCCCAATTCTCAATCCCAATTCTCCCGTACCGGTATCGACACCAACACAACTAGCACAATCATTATAGGTATCAATATCCAAACATCCAAATATAAACATCCAGACCCCACTCAGCATTCCCCCTTCCCTGATAGTAATTAACAAACAGTAAATGCTACAAAGCAGCAACATCAAATTATCAATGCGTTTTCCATCGGGAAACTGACATTTCATACGTAATGAACGAGATGTATACCGCGCTGCGGGATTGGATACGATTGCGAGATTGGGGAGGATGAAAGGGGATGTAGTATATGAGGTGGAATGAAAACATGAAGATATATCATAAGAAAAAAATAATGATTTTGTAATGCAGCGCGATGAAGGGGGAAATGCTGACTTGGGGGAATGATGGAGGGAAAGAAGCTTACTTACTTTCTTACCTATTTACTTAAACAAGTCCAGTTCCAGCAATGTAAATTTATAAAGAAGCTATATCAGTGAAATCACCATCGTACACCCTGAAAAATTTGAGCGCAGGGCACTGACTTGGTTAATATCGAAGTGGAATGGTTTGAAGATAATTTGGGGTATGAAGGAGAAGAAATGGTTAGGGAGTCAATGAGGGGATGATGTGGTTGATATATGATGGTGTTGTATTTGAAGATGGAGATGGGGATATATGAGTGATGAGTGGTGAGTGAGGGGATTGTGGGGAGGTAGGAGAGGGTGTGAAAGTTTGGAGATAAGGTGGTAGATGGATGGATAGATGGAAATTGAGATGAAAGGTAGAAGATTAATTACCAGTATGAATGTACGAAAGATAGTTTCCATAAGACAATAAACTCTCAAGCCAGTTTCGCTAGGTATGAATTGACCACCATATCTGTACTGTACTGTGCTGTACAATTTCAATATCATTAGTGAAGAACATCATAAAAAGACATGCGAACATAACACAAAGAAGAAGAGAGAGAAAGTAGCAGCGACGATAAGTAATCATCTTTCTTGATGCCAAGTACCTTCCCTCAAACTTACTCTGGATTTTTCTCGACACTGTTTCTCTCCACTCATTGCATGAGAAAGCGATGAAAGAAAAACAGTTCAATGGCTGGCTATTGGCCGTATGGAAATCTAGGAAAGAATTCGTAAACGATATGTAAGTTCAAATTACCTTAACTTTTATGTGTAATTCTGGGAATGAAATAAATGATTCGCCATAGGTTCGGATACATTGGCAGATTGTAAGTTGTTGGATGTTGATGTTTTTTGGATGTATCAGTAAATAATGATTCGTAAAACGGAAGTCATCGAATCCATGAATACGCGATGTTCCAGACTCAAGAAGATTCATGAATTCGGAAGTATAGTATGGATTGATGGGATTCGTGATGTAATAAACTGTGATTTCGGAGTTATTGATGCGCGTATCGTCCTGCAGGAAATGATACTTCTCTGATCTTTTCATTGTGGTCGATGTAACGTCTCGAGAACCTCAAGTTATAACGGACTGACTTTCTGTTTGGAATACAGTATTGTCGTAAGGATGTAAAGAGGCTTGATCTGATAGTAACACCAGGATATGTCGTTATATAACTAAAGTCTTTGGTCCTGCAGTACAATAGGCACTTGAAACTAGACTTGCGGATGCATACTTCAGACCAATTCGAAGGGTTTCTTGTCAAAAGTTAACTTCCCTCTAATATTTGAAGCTCCTCGAAGGGTACTGTCTAACGTGGCAGCCGGTATAGTCATGCGTAGGATTCATACTATTCTGCCTGTCAAACATACATATCAGGATCTGTGCATTTTCCCTCTTGTTCCTATCCACTTTACAAAGATTTTGTACACCTAGGTAGCGTAGAGAGATGTTCGATGTGAAAGTATATACAAGATATAAAAGTCAAGCTTGACGTCTGGAACTATCTACATGCTGCTTCTTTTTGCATGCTGAGTACTTGACAGAAATTAATAATAAGGATCAACTGAGGTTCTAAACTTTACGGCTCACCAGGGCTACTGGATATTGCTGGAGAGAGGGATAGTATGGTATCATTAAAGGATTGTGTACCTCTGCACTCATAGACAGGTTCAGTAAAGATGTAAACCAAGTGGTATTGAATATGGGAACGCACAAGATCATCTCAATTATCAGAACAAGACAAGGCATCAGAGGCATAGGGCCATTTGAGACAATAGATGGATAGTGTGTGACGACAGCGCAGGTTGAAGATGCTTTGAAAGCAATTCTATCGATTCTCAAAAGTTAAGTTGTTGTAAAGTTAAAAAGCGCCAGTATAAATGATCAATTTGCTTTGGATATGAGCAATCATAACTGTAAAAACAAAGAAGTCAAATCCATACAAATAAAGTTGTAATACTTTTAAATGATACCGAAACTCAATTGTCAAGCGGTATATGTGAATATTAAAATTCCTACGATGAAAAGGATTTATAGTTGCGTGCCATTGAAATTTATGTTACAGTAACTTTCCGACTTTTCTTTTACTGGAGGTATACCAGGCCTGAAATGTTAAAGAAGGACAAAGCATAAACGAATATTGATTTATCCACTAAAAACCTTCTTAACATTTGACATGGAAGAATTGGGATTACTTAAAGAAAGATGACATCATGGACTTAAATTGCAACAGCAAGCTTTGGGCATAAACATGTACTCCATAGACAAAAGACGGTTACTGTCGAAATAATACAAATATGATGACATATTTAGGAGAGATAACACAAATCAATGAAAATAAAACTAGACAATGAGGCTAGATCGCAAAGCACATGATATCTTGTCTAAGACATTAGGCGACGGATAGGAAGATTTGCGAAGAATTCCTTTACACGTGAATACATAATAACAGTGACATGTATAAAAGAAAGAGCTCATCCATAAATCGGACCTACTTGTACTCCTTCCTCTTCCCGACAGAAAGAAAGAGAGAAGCCCCCGAGAGAACAGAGGACCCTTCAACTTGCATGCAAGTATTCGAGTACTCCACGTTCAATCGCCCGCCCCATTTAAATCCACTGATTTGACGCAGATAACATTAACTGCCCTGAGCTTTACAGCTGGTGGGGCGACGGGACACGAACAGTATGTAGAGCGGAACATTTCTAACTGGTTTGTCTGTAGATTCGTAAATTAATCCTTATAACCATGGCCCAAAGAAGTACAAGAGCATTACTACGCTCCAAGCAGTTAATTGGAGCTCCGATAAGACGGTGAACATGGAGACTGTAATCTCGAAAACAACAGCGAGATTGCCAAACAATATTAAGAAGCTTTATGAAAAATGAGCGAACAAGATTGCAGAGCAAGTAGAGAGGAAAGAAGAATACAGTGACGAAAACTGCAAATGAGAAAAAAAACTTAAAAAAAACTTAGAGGTACGATTCGGCTTTTGTTGGGAAATCTTTAACAAAATGTTGCATCCCACAAAGTTGATCCTCTGCTACTACCAGAAACATAGGTAACCCGTTGAACATTGATGCCGCCGCCATCAACCTGCGCCATAGTTGAATTCACTTCCTCTCGCTTCATTTTGACGCCAAAAGCCCTGACAGATCTATGAAGCTCATATTTATCCCCGCTCCATTTATATAGGGCCAGGAAAGTATTTGACGCTCGGATCTGAAGATATGTTGGATAACGGAGAGATAGAGAATGATTCTTTAGTATTTTACTCCAATGTCTCGAAGACTTTAGAGTCAGTCCAGTACTTCCCAAGCGTTGAAATAAAAAGTAATGTGGAGCTGAGATCTAAATTGACGAACAGGTCATTTACTGGACAGTCAAGATCTTACTTACCATGTTCTTTTTTCTTCACGACTCTAAAACACAGCAAATGAGGGAAGAGAAGAAAAGAAGGAAGAGAGAAAAAAGAGAGGGAGAAAAAAGAGAGGGAGAAAAAAGAGAGGGAGAAAAAAGAGAGGGAGAAAAAAGAGAGGGAGAAAAAAGAGAGGGAGAAAAAAGAGAGGGAGAAGAAAAAAAGGTATTGAAGAATGAACAAAAGTTGAAATGATAAGAAGAAGAATTAGAACGACACCTGCAGGATTTGAACCTGCGCGTCCGAAGACATAGCATATCTTATATTCTGTAGAGACTACAGAAGTTCGAGTGCTACCCATTAACCACTCTGGCAAAGTGCCTTATCGTATTTAGATGCTAATAAGCTTGCAATTTTGAAATATATCCCAACACCCCGCTAAATCTTGACAACTACAAGGTCCTTGCACTTGAGTATAATCAATGTTTTCACTGTCCAATCATGCATTCTTGCTACACTTCAAAGAATTGACCTGAATTTCAAAGGAAGGGAACGTTTAAATCTGATAATTAAGATCAAGATCACAGGAAACCTGCGACCGCAAACTTGTGGCAAACCATTGTTTACTCGAGTAGCTTATCATTGTCGGAATAACACTAATTCCGGTTCCTCAAAAAATTATCTAGAACTAGAGCGTCATTATTCTTGAATCCATTGCGAATTTGCGGTTCATCATATTCTTTCAATTTGTATTATTAGAATCGACATCTTATTAATACGACGCGACACTCAACCTACCAGCAAATCACAATCAATTCATATCTCAAATATCAAGATGTCTACAACTCAACCATCTCAATTTACTCAACCCGATCCCACCAATCCAAGAACTACCCCTCTCCTCCATAATGCATCTCTCGCAGCCCTCATCGTTTGTCCAATCGTCATGTGTAAGTCTCTTCTCGATCTCAATGAATTGGAATTGGAATTCTAAATTATGATGTCTGACATTGTGCATTTCACAATTCCCTATCTAATGCGACTAATTAATTCCAAAGTCTCAGTGTTCAACTAACCTTTTTGCCCCATACAGTTATCCCACCCCGCAAAATGGATGTCTATACTTTCGCTCTTATGACTACCACATTTATTGGTGGTAATCACTTAGCCTACGAATATACCGGTGTCTCAATGATGACCCGCATACAGAATCGTGTATCATCTATCTCAACTACGGAATTACCTGAAAAGGCAAAAGAAACTCAGAGAAGAATACGAGAGGCGCAAGAAAAGAAAAGAATGGAGGAGAGTGGAAAGTTTCTAGGACAGACTTTTAAATCGCAGGACGAAGGTACAAAGGGCAAGAGTGTACTTGAAGCATTAGAAAAGAGAAGCGCTGGTCAACCAACTTCTGGAAAGGTTCAGGCAGAGGAGAAAGAAGGTGTTTTGGAAAAAATTTGGCTAGGTGGCGAAGGGAAAGACTGGAAAGAAAAACGAGATCAAAAGGAGAAGGAAGCTCTGGAAGCAGGCAAAGGGTATGGTGATCTGATTATGGAACAAATATGGGAAGTATGGAATAGAGGAGAGAAGAAGATGGAAGAGGTCAAGAAGATTGACGAGAAAGTGGTAGACGAGAAGAAGAAATGAAGGGTAGTGTAATTATACTTTCTAGGCGGAACGGGTATTGTATGAATCTAAGCTGGACTGGGCAAGGCGTTCAAGGTGCAACAGGTATGATGCTGAATCGGTGTAGATCTATCAGATCTCGGAGGTTTGGATTCATCTGCGGAGGATACATCGGAAGATTAAACTGCGTCCACTCAATATCTGGTGGGAGTAATATGAAATGGTCTCTAAGAATCGCGTCATTTATTTCGGCGCTACTCCTCCTCGTTTTGCTACACAATACAGTTATACGTTACCACCTGGTGAGCAGACTTGAGATACCCGGAAAATTGAATTGACAACAGTCAGTCGCGCATGAACTCTATCCATCTATTCACCTCCACGTCACGTTCATCGGATCCCTTGATGATGAACTCAGCCCGCCGACATGCAATGTCATTGTTGCATGAAGGGATCCTTAGGGATTTTTAGTTCACCCATAAGGCGAGATTTCGACGATCATCACAGGTTCGTAACTCAATACAGGCACTATTTTTCACCACAAATGTTATCTGCGACATTGAGAAAACTCTCGTCACCCACAGACCTTCTTCTACTAAAACTCTAAACCAATCAATAACCTGACAAGGCATTCATTATAAGAGGAAAGTTCTCCAAAATCCACAATTCGCACGGACAATGGAGTGGAACTAAGAAACCTTACTTCCGTTTCACTTTATTGGGCTATGACCATCATATCCCCAAGTTCCAGTTCTATGTTTCTACCAATCTTTTCATCTCCAAATATTGATTGAAAATGTTTTAGTATGTATAATATAGCTATTCGAATCTAAGTAGTTCCTGCAATACTCATTGCAAGAAGTTTCCTACAACAAGTCAGGTTAAGTGACCAGAAGGAATAATTGACAATGGGTATTTGATAATTCTGCTGATCTTTTCACTACTTATCTCAAAATAATTTCATCTGTCTTTCATTTGTTAGGCACGGGTATTTCTCGTGGTGAACCATTGACCGAGTGTTTTTGAGGGGAGTTTCATGGTTCCACCTTCTTGCTACGAGATATAAGTACATAGGCATTGGTAGCCTTGGCTTGAACTGTGTGTCTACTTGTCAAACTTACCTATACATGCTAGATTTGAGCTGTCGTCTCTACCAGCACGCTGACATCCTTCCCTACATCGGTCTTTCAGTACCTCTATTTACACACTCATTCTTGGCTATTATACCTTAACGAACTCAAAGGCCGTCTTTCCTTGATCTAGGTTTTCTTCCACCTTCTAATCGAATCTAACCAAGTTGAGGTTATAATCTTTCTGCAAAATGATCAATCATAATTCGAGAGGGTTAGTGGGGGATTTGGTAGATGCGGGTGTATATGAAGAGGATTTTGAGTTGGTTTGGGCAAACAAGAGAGATGAAGATGGACATGATAACGAACCTTCTATTCAAACTCCTCCGAGTCCCCCAAGTCCTCCAAAGGATCCAAAGCCAGCACTGCAATCCACAAGTACTGGGGATTCGACAAGTACTGTAAGTTTTAAATCACCTTTTGTAGTGTCATTGACTCATGAGATATCATAGACAGCGACAATGACAACAGAAACATCAACGAGCATCGCAACAGCGAGTGCAACGCCTACTGCTACACTAATATTACAAACCGCCGCATCTGTTAGCTCTTCATCAACTCTTTCCATTTCAACGCCAGCTTCATCCTCTGAACCAAGTAGTACATCCATCACTTCTATATATGTACCCGCATCCTCTCCAGCTTCGTCCTCAAGGCCAAGTCCTGAGACAACAATAACAAGCACAACAACAAGCATGATGAACGCAACCGCTTTGACTGCACATAACCCTACGATATCCCCACTTTCAAATGATCAGGACACGACGAAAGAACATCAACATACATCCTCGGCTCTGGCAGTAACAGTTAGTGTTACAGTTATTGTCAGTTTATTGGTACTCGCTGTTATGGCATTCTTGGTTAGGAGAAGAATTTTAAGGCAAAGGAAGAGAGGTAATGTGTTGAAAGATTTGGGAGAGAAATCAAATCCGGGAATGGATGCTTGGGCTGGTGTGATACCTAGGGCTAAGGGGAGTGGAATTCGACGAAACTCCGTATTTCCTAGCATTAGGGGAAATGGAATTCGAAACTCGGTATTTTCTGGCATTAGGGGGAACGGGATTCGTAACTCAATTTTTCCTCAGGCACCTCGTCCCGCATTAATCAGAAATTCTTCGGTTTCAACAGCAGGAACTATGAGGGACATGGAAAGATACGAAAAGGAAACAGGAGAAGGAGCATCGACTATAAGAGCGCCTTCGACTATGAGCTTGGATTGGGGGGATGGAGTATCGATTCATTCATTGGAAACCACTGATAGTGAACAACCTCAGGGATTGGGAGTCAGGCCGCAAAGAAGAATGTCTCTCATTCAGGATTCAGAGGAGAACGATATCGAGAGTGGGGATGGGAGTCAGGGAATATTGAGTTATTATGCCAATATGAAATATCATCGCAATCCGTTTGCGGATCCGGAACCGAACCTGAATATGGATACCTCCTTTTCATCGATCCAATTACCGAATTTCGAATTCGATACATGGGGCGACGATACGAATAGACTTTCAAAAATTAATCCGCAATCGCCTGGAGATTTGACGAGAGACAATGCGAGGAAGAACACATTGAGTTCGTTAAGACCCACGAGTTTCTTGAGCGAAACGGATACTTTAGAAAGTCAAAAAGCGATGGCAAGAGCTAGTTTTGGAGGAGCGCTTGGGCATCTAGGTTCAGCAAGATGGTCTAACCCTTTCTCGGCAAAGGAAAAGAGGGGAACAAGGGGATATGAGGAGATGGGGGAGCTGGAGAGAGAGGAGAGGGGTGAGGGAAAGTGGAAGGATAAGCTGAGTTGGGTCAAGGGACAGGTGGATAGGGTTAAAAATTAAGGGATAGGGCTTGTAGTCAAGTGCGGGGGATGTTGATGAAAAACCGAATCGAGATGGGAGGCTGTAATATGCAGAGATGAACCTTATAGACGGGGACCAAATAAAGATGGGATGGCGTGGGATGGATTCGCATGTTATTCACTAAATACCAGGACTGATTTTTGGAGTTTGGCAGAGAGCATGAATACCCTTCGTTTTTGTGTCTATTCTGAACCCCCCAAAATTTACGATTATCTACTTTGTTAATTAATTTACTTTACTTCACTTTGTCAGATTATATCATATCATATCATACCAAAACATATCACATGACTTTAATTCTTTCCTTCGTTGAAGTGTATAAATTATGCATTTCATACATGTATCCTTCGTGATGGGTAATTAAAATAATTAAAATAGACATTTTTTCTTAAGTTCCGATATCCATTAGAGGGAAACTTAACTAAAAGTACAGTGCACGCACGCACGCACAAATTCAACGGACCTTCGGGATATAAACTTTAGGAAGGTCGCTAGCTAGGTAGGTAGGTAGGTAAGCTAACATAGAGTTTGCGAAATAGAGTTTTCAGCCCTAGAATTAAATTAAATTCAACGGTGTGGTAGCGTGGGAGTTTGGGTTTAGGCTTGGGTTTGTTTGCGAGATGAGGATGGTTAGTATGTTGGGGGTGGTTAATTGGAGGTCGATCTTTGGAGTTTGGGTTGGAGTTGGTGGGTAGGATGGGCTGGGGGAGGAAATGAGATGAAATGAGTGAATTGAATGGAATTGGAGGTTTATTTTTGCTTTGGAGAATGAGAAAGTTTAAAGTTTGAAGGTAGAGAGAGGGATAGGAAAAAGGAAAAAGGAAAAAGGGAAAAGGAGGCAATTGTGAGGATTGTGTGAGAGGTTTGGGATTGGGATCGGTGGTTTATATATAAGGTGCATTATTGATGTTATGAGGGTTTGTTTGAGGTTCAGAGAGAGGGAGAGAGGGAGAGAGGGAGGTGGATTAGGTTGGTTAGGTAGTTGTGTAAATAGTGATGCTGAAGATTGGGATTAAAGGGATTGAAATGAAATGCGAAGTTTTGATACATACTGCTACCTATATTCTTCTTTTAATAAATGAATGAATAAATGAAAGGAGGAAAGAATGCGTTGGGATCTATGCGATTAAGATGGGATTGGTCGGGAATTTGTGATGCTATGTGTATACCTACCTACTTGGTATATAGATTTGAGGAGGAGGAACGAGTGATATAAGAAGAGATGATATGATATAGTATTCTTTCGGTTGGTTTCTCCTGTTCTGTTTTGAGAGGTTAGGGTTAAGCGATAGATTTGTTTTTCAAGGATGGATGTGGATATGGATATGGATATGGATATGGATATTCAAAGGTCGAATGAAAACTAGCAGCAAGAAGGCTCTCGACAATAAGTACCTATATTTATTAGCGAACTATCCACAAATCCCTCCCATCCCGTCCATTTCCGATGAATTTCAAAACAGCTCCTCTCCAACTTCCTCCCGTCCCTGCAATCCCATTCTCCCATTCCCCCATTCTCCTATTATCCCGTAACAACCCTATGCCAGAATATACACAACACACCTGCCACATCTTTACTCCCCCCTCCCAAGCCATTCCGCTGACTACCCTATACACTCGCTCCTATCCTCACTCACCTCTTAGAAAAGAACCCAGTGCTCCAAATGTGAGAATAATGCATCTGTATGCACATGTATACATGTAAGAATACCTCAACTCCACCCTGCCCCCCCTCCACAAAATTCTAATTCCACATCGCAGCCCTCCCACGGACATCAGCAAATCCACTCATAATCATCTGCCATTAGCAAATAGATTTGAAGCCTTATCGATCAAAGCCTAATCCATCCCTCATTCGTCTAGCGAAGGCTTCAGCCTCTAGCCAAGCAAAGAGAGTCAAAGTAAGATATAAAAAAGGCTTGGAGATCGATGACCTCGAATTTCTCCTCCCCATGGCATGAATACATCCGTTCACGCATACGAACGCCCGCATACATTCGCTCCGGACAGTAATTAAAACCTACTGATAGACGTTTTGACGATAGTGGCGAGGACACAATAGCAACGGAAATAGTTGTATTTGTCTCGGCTTGCTATTGATAGGAATGAAGGGAAATTTACGGATACTCATGATAGCTGCAGTGGTGATAAGATCTATTGTTTGATATACCAACAAACAAATAGATCGATTCAGTTCTCCTCCCCGTACCTTTTGACCACTGCAGTTAACACGACTTTTTGAAATCGCAACCGCCTACCCAGCTCTTGCTTAATGAATAGATTGCGTTTATCCCATTTGAGAGTTTGCAAGACGAATGGGGTAGCATTTTTTACCTCACGGGTTATTCATTTCAGAGCTCACTTGAGTAAAACAGCACATTCGATTATGCAAACACATAGTGCCGTATAAATTTCATTCCTATCCGTTTCGGCTATTTCCTTTCTTGTACCTTGATATACGTAATAAAGGGCAGTCATTAATACATAGATTACCCATCAAGCTCCGTCCAAAATCCATTTTCTCATACAAGGCTAGCTTAAACGCCCCAAAACACCTTGCAATACCTTGATATTGCAGTTCTCCGCCCATCCGTCATCTAAACCCGCTCTTCAAATCACCAAGCCGACTGATCAAAATCAAACCTCTCCAACTCCTTCCCAGCATCCTCGACATCCTTCTTTGCCTTCATTCTCATGTAGAAAATTGGACAATCCTTACTACTACAAATAACTTCACAATGCATACTTCCCTGACACCTTTGACATTGTGTCCATAATCTTCCAAATCTGACTTCTAGATCCGAGACCTTATTGAGTTGTTTTTGATACATTTCTCCAATTCTAGGAGCGCAGTCTGTACATACTGCACCATCTTTCTCGTGGGCTTTCACGAGAGGTTTTTTGCAGGACATACATGTTGATGTTTTCTTTGCGAATTTCATGAGACCGCCAATGGTAGGAGCTGCGACAGATATAGCACGGGTATGTGCACCTGCTAAGAGGGAATTGGCTTTTGTTTCTCCGAGGATAGGTTCGAAGATTCTGCCTAAAGGTTTGGCAAGTTGGTTATCGAGGTAATATTTTGTGTCGATGGGGACGTTGTTTTCTAATACGAAAATGGGATCCTCGGATCTTTCAAAATTCTTGGCTCCAGCAGATCCTTTGATGATGACATATGCAACACGGTCACCTAGTGTAGGTGCTGATCCTGCATCTCGTTTCTTCATACGCTCAGCTAGTTCTACGTGAGCTTGTTTGGCGGTATAATCGGCTTTTGCGAGGGCTTTGGTGATGACAAGTTTTGACATATCGATTTTGTTTTGAAGAAGATCTGAGATGGTATCTTTCACATAGCTGAACGAGTATGTTAGTTATAACTTCGAAAAATTAGGAAGCGATAAAAGCTTACTCTTGTGCTCCTTGAACATCTTGATCGATCAAGATCATTCTCAGTACTGTTTCGATGACATTCTGAACCAGCCGGCAATTATCACGACGAACTGTTTCAATACCCTTTGTATCCATCTTATCATACTTATCAGGATTTGTCCAGTAAAGACCGGCATATCTCTTCTTATTGATGAGAAGGTATGGGTAATACACTTTTTCGAATTCCAACTTAATCGGCTTGATGAATTTCGAAGAAACGTATTGTGCAGCTTCTTCTCCCAATTTCATTGCCTCTGCCAATTCTTTTACACCAAATTTAACCATGACTGAGTCGGTATCACCATAAATGACTTGAGCATCATGAGAATAACCATTAGCGATGGTGTATTTCGCCTCAACCTCTGCTTTGGTCTTTTCAATCATTTGACGACCATAACTTGTGGTACTACTGGCAATTGGTAAACAAGGTACCTTTCCGACAGTGGCACCAGTCAAACCGTACACACTGTTTGCACTAATTTTCAAGGCAAGTTGTCGACCGTTGAGCACAGCCTTCTTGAAGGGATCGGTTTCAACAGCAAGTTCTCTTTTAGCTTGTTTTCTTGCTGTTAACAATTCTTCCAAAATTTGCGTCAGAAGACCCTTTCGTTGCTTGGTTGTGACGAACATATCTCCATTTGGCGTAACGATATAATCTTCATCCTTCTCAAGTTTGAGAGCTTCCACAACATCTTTCTTGAGTAATGTAGTATAGCAAAGATTATGTGCTTGAATAATACTTGGGTATAGAGAAGCAAAATCCAGGGTTGCAATTGGGACACTGTAGTATCCTCTAGTAGGTTCAATGACAGTGGCACCTTCGTACTGTTCCTCAGATGAGTTAGATGATAGATTAGGAATGACCAATTTCTGTTCTAAAGCTTTTCGAAACAGTTGACTAATGAATTTGACTTGTTGGCCACGAGATAGAAGAAAATTGAAAGGAACACCTGTGACTCTAGCCATTTCCGTATAATTTTCTAAACATGAAAGTTTATCCATTAGACGTTGAGGTAGAAAAGCATCCTTTAAACAATATACAGCCAATCTTCGTCTAGACTCAGGGGTTCCATTGAATAATTCCGTAATCATAGTGTGATGAACATCTTCCTTTTGCTCACCCAAAAATTGTGCACAAACGGAATTGAGCGTATAACTTCGAAGTTGATGATCTCTCTGAACAAGTTGTAATAAGTCCAATTGAAGTCGTCCATTAGTATTGGTAGCTTTCGTATCCCTGTTACCCATTTGCTTGCTGGAGAAGTTGGAAGTTTTAGCTTGAGAGTGGATAGACTTCAATCGAGTCCATTGATTGAAGTTCTTGATCTTCAAGTGATCGGCTCGATCGAGGAGATATGGGAAATCGAAATTGGCAATGTTATAACCAATGATGATATCTGGATCTACCTCTTCAAGAAAGTCTCTCCATTTCGATAACATCGTCTCCTCCTTTTCGAATACGTGAATTTGTGTATTGACGATCAGACTAGTAGGGTCAAGACAAAAGACATTTCGTACGAATGGTTTTTTCTCTCCGTATCGAGTAACAATATTAGCAATTTGGATAACAGGATCCTGATTTGCTTCCGGAAAGACACCCTTGCGACCAGCACATTCAATATCAAAAGATAGAATACGCAGAGGTGCCATTTTCGCCCATTCCCCTTCGGGCTTATGCGCAATTAAGTCTCGATATGTCATTACGGCTTCGATTTGACAATTCGATTGTCTATTGTGTTCTGGAACTATTTCGTATTTCTTTGCTTCAACTTCAACCCATGACATACCATAAATCTGTCATTGATTAGATATGTTAAAAGCGAAAGTGTGGTAGGGGATGCCATATGAGAGGAGAAAACGAGGTGGAAAATGAAAAGAGCAAAGGAACACACCTTGACATCGACCATAAATCGTAACACATATTGAATGCTATCAAAAGTCAAAATACCATTTCCATCATTCCTCCACATTCCTTTCCAGTTTGCTTTACCCTCCTCGATAGTTGTCCTAACTTTGTTGATGTATTTGGGGTCCATAACTGTAATCTTAATATATGCGTGCTGTTTATTTCCTGTAAATCCGTATAAATTCTCTCGTAGTACAACCGATACCGAATTGATGGCAGGCGTGTGCATTCCAACTTGCGAATCCAGGAACATCTTATATGGTTCACAATCTTTATGTGTAAAACTAACTGGAGCGGCAACGTAAAGGTAGTGAAGAAAGTCTTTTACATGCAGCATAACTGAGTGACCAGTCTGTGTATGGTATTAGTTATAGCCCCGGCAGGAATTGGAATGAACTTCACCTCAGTAACACCAAACAACTTCACAGTCGCCTTTCCTCCGTCATAAGTACCTTCTTCACATTCAATCTGCTGAAAGATTAAATTATCAACCTCAGGGTTGAAGTCTGACAGGCTCGGCCTTGCCCATTCTTGATCTTTTTCTGAATTATTCTTCTTCAGACTTTCCATATCCTGTGTCATTTTTTCCAGCACTTCCGATTCAAAATGACTAGGCTGGCTAGAAGCCAGCTTTCCTCTTGGACCATTTTGTGAGCTCTTGAATCGCACTGCTGCTGGTGATGATGCAACTGGTTCTAACTTTCGTTTCTTTGCCCCAGTTGGAGGAGATGAGGGGATATTGCTTTGTTGAATATTCTTTGCTTCACCTAAGATTCGCTTTTGAGGAACTCTTGATGGAGCCATTGTGGATATTTTACAGCTTCTATGCTGTTAAAAGGAAAGACGTAGTTGGAAAGGTTGTTGATACGAATTTGGTTTTCGGATTTTAGAAGACGCATTTCAATATAAAGTTCGCGTCAATCAATTACTTTTCGCGCGGTGTGGACGCGTCGAAATTATAGTGGACAAGGTCGGGGGGGGCGGGCAGATTCTATAGTGGCGGGCGTGGCTGAGAAGTGCTGCTGTGATTAAGTAAGCAGAGAAGCATCCCAGTATCTTATCTTGATGAGATGAAAGTAGTCGTCAACTAGGATAACCCGTTACTGTAAACACAACTTTAACTAACGAATGATCTGTACAACACCACCTGCATGCAAAGCATTTTGCGATCTTCTTTCAGAGAGCCTATTTCAACCCCCAATATACCAATGATTGGGCTCGGTATTCAGCGATTCCACAACTTGACATTACATCATTCCTGACCAGGTTTTCCGGACACTCTTCATACACGAAGTCTACTATATTGAGTATTTGCTTCCCTCGATATTCCGTCATATATCACCACACGCCATTGCGACTATATCTTTGAGATGGGTAATGGACTGAATACAATGTGAAGAGGAAGAATGCATCTTCACACGTATATGATGCATCTCTCTGCCCTCAACACGCGAATTATACAGCTCAGGTATCAGCATCGAAATCCCGAGCACAAAAACTGTTACATAATGCGAATTTCCTGGCTTCATGAATCGGGAACCACTTTCAGATCTTTCTTTACTGAGAAGATATACTCTATCCGATGAAACCGCTCCATGCCGTCGTTCTTATCATTATTTCTATGCCTCGAGACCAAGTTTTTCCCATTTCCGCTTAGGAGAAAGGCCGTTGACCAATAGCAAGTGTTATTGTTCAGCGAAATTCATGCATCAAACTTAATGACTGGAATTATGTACATGGAAGCACCCCAAAACTTTTGAAGCTATACAGAGTATATGTGTGTGTGTTGTCCTACCATGATTACATCACAGAGAGAATCTGAGGAGCCATGTCGCCTGACCAACAACTTTCCAAGAAAGTCTTTGTTTTATATATATATATATACATACATCTCTTTGCATCTAACTTATTGTCTAGATATTTCTATACATATTGGGAACATACTACAAACTGAGTGCCATTGCGATCTGAAATCCTGTTTTCAGCATTTCAATAGGCCGTTGGAAACGCATTTTACCAATATCTCATTGTTCAATACGCACAGAATAATTTTGTTCCAGACATCAAGTTATACAACCCAATCATACAGATCACAAATTCCTTGATTATTCGACAAAACTTCACACATTCGATTCCTTTGCCCTCAATATGTCCCATTCTTCATACTCATACTCCTTTCCTAGTTCACCAAAGCGTTGCAGGCAAGGGTCTTTCATAGACAACTTAGCATACCAAATCCGACTCATGAATTACCGATATGAGGTTACATTCTCGGCATATGTATTGACTCCGGGAGAAAAACTGGTTATGAATTTGATTATTCTCTTATTTATGAGTCTAACGGGATATACTCTACTCTCTTGTTTAACCGCTTTCAGTCATCAAAGCATTCGGAGGATCCTCCTATCATATGCGATTTCCAACGATCAACTTAGAGTTACGATGGGGGATGTGAGCAGAGCGGTCGTTGGCAACACAAGTTCTGCTTGGAGTAGGATCGCAGATACGAGGCATGGAACTACCATTTCCATCTCACTATAATGTAAGTGTAGATAATCCTGAATATTTCTCCCACGCGATGTATCGATATCACCTTCAGATATGACAATTTTCGTCTAAGCATGCCCCGACCGATGCACGAGTGAGACATAAAGGAGTACATCGGGGCTCAGACTATCATTGACTCCCCCTCGAACAGTACCTACCGTGCAGGAATCAGATCATGACGATCGAGACTGGCCCTGGAAAAAGCAGATTGAATTAAAATACCTCAAGAAACCTCGACTAACAAATGTTTTGCAGATGAATTTCACGTCCTTCGATTGCTCAAATATCCCCTTTACCAGCGCAGCATTTTCAATTATACCCAATAGCGATACTATTATGACGGCGCACAATTGACCTCCTTAGACACATCTGCAGCGACTACGCAATGTATTTTTAGGAGCTAATGAATTTTATGATAACGATATACGATGATGAAAGTAGTTCGGACGGGTTTACTTAGATACTCATGATGCTCAATTATGAGGATGTCGTTCGGTACTGGGCCCAAGAAAGGGCATGAAAATCTTTATTGGGGGCTGGATCACGAACAAATTAACTGGATATTTTTCTCCATAAATTTCCTCATTCAGATGATCTTTAACAATTTCATGGATGAGCTTCTTGAAAACCAATCAGCCTTGTTTACTTCTCACAGCCACTTCACAAGATGTAAATAGAAACAAAGTATCGACACGACATATTAATCAATTTGATTGGATGAGATGATACCATATTCATAATTCCTCCCGACTTGCGTAGCTCTCTCCACTGAATTGGTCGAGTTGCCAAGAGTGACACGAAAATGTTACGTAGCCCTGTTGTTGCTGGCTGTTAGAATGATAGAAGAGCAGCTTACACCACTTTGTACAGCCCTATCAGTATTTTTGTATGGCGAGCTGCTGATAGATTCTTCAACTTGTTGGTAAGTGAGTCCCACTGGATCGATGCTTGTGAATCAGGGCAATGTGAAACGTCGTTTTGACGATGATCATGACTTGACAGTTTTACCGTACCTACCCTTCCTTTAGACAGCATGAATTCCTTTTGTTCAGTTGATTCTTAAATCTTCCAAATATAACAAAAAAGTAAATCTTCACCGCATAATTCGACGAATTCGATATTCGAACGATTTTAAGGTTCTCGGGCTACTCAAAATCCCTACAGCAGTTCAGGCACAAGCCTCTTTGGTTTGATGGTTGGTTCTGAAACGGGGACAAATCCAAAAACAGAATCTTTTCCGATCGAGTAACCTTACCCAGTCTCGAGCCAGTACCTTGCGTGCTTGCTTGACCATTCTCGAGCCTTTCTTTCCTTTCTATCTATCCTTACACAACCTTTTCAAGTGCCCTCGGTCGAGGCAGTGCTTCTAGAGCAAAAAGATCGTACCTAGTAATCAAATAAATGATATCCACCCCCAGCCTATCTGAAATCATTACGAGATTCTCAAGAATCTACAAATTCGTTGCACTTTCTTTCTCTCACACAATTTTAGAGAAACTCAAAAAGAAAAGTACTTATGAATCGTAACTGATCACCACTAAGATATTTTGACAGCGTCAAATCTCCACATTCGTCGTACATATTTAGCCAAGAACCTGCATTTCGACCTTGGGGATTCTCTTGTTTCAGGCTTGTACAATCTTCAGACGATCGCAACTTCGACTTTCTTTTTTTGTGTGAGCGAACCATTTCTACCTCTACGAACGATTCCTCAATAGTGTCAAGTTGATACGGTTAATCGATACATTCAAACCGTATCCAACATCGATAATGGCGTCGAACAATTATTACAACAACTCTTATTCACATCAGCAACAACAATATCAACATGCCGAACCGCCAGAACCATATCATAGTCAATTCGACGTTCAATCGCAACAAAACACAGTGCCTCCATCATATCATTCTCAAGTACCTTCAAGACAAGGCTCGATTCCATCCCGCGGAGGATCGACTAGACCTCACGAAATGTCACCAGTCTCACCATTCGAAGCCCCGTTCGATGATCATGTATATCCAGCACCAAATGTGCCGCCGCATAGACAAGATAGCTCGAATAGCTTAGGACAAAATTCACAATACTATTCACAAGGGGGTGGTGGCAGACCTCATGATGGAATGGGTTACTCCAATGATGATATACCTCTACGAGAAAATCCGCAAGTACCACCAAAGGACGCCTCTACAGATCATATTTATGATTCGAACTTGAATGATCATGTATACGATGCAGAAGAATCGGGAGTACCTTCGCATTTACAGAATAACAAGAAGAATAGAATGAGCGACGCTATGGCTATGTCACTCATTAATAAAAAGAAAGGCTTTCCTTTCGTTACATATACTCTCACATTGGTACAAGTGATAGTATTTATTGTCGAGATTGTTAAGAATTGTAAGTATTTGGATGCAGAGTTTGAGTATGAAATACTAATATCAGATAGCCCAACTTACTGGCTCTCCTATCGAAATTCATCCATCCTTCAATCCTATGATTGGCCCTTCACCATACGTGGTTATCAACATGGGGTCAAGATTCACGCCTTGTATGCATAATATGACCGCCATACCAGATTTAAGTGCCATAAGTTGGCCATGTCCGAATACAACAAGCTCAACGTCAGCCGAATGTTCAATAAGTGATCTTTGTGGATTTGGAGGTGTTGGAGCAACACCAGATCAATGGTATAGGTTCATTTTACCTATGTTTCTTCATGCCGGAATCATCCACATAGGTTTCAACATGTTGCTTCAAATGACGATGGGAAAAGAAATGGAAATTTTAATTGGACCCATTCGATACTTTCTGGTTTACATCTCCAGCGGAATATTTGGATTTATATTAGGTGGAAACTTTGCAGCAACTGGTATATCATCAACAGGCGCATCGGGTGCTCTTTTTGGCCTTATTGCTCTTACACTACTTGACTTATTGTATAAGTGGAAAGAACGTGTGAGTCCGATGAAGGAATTGGCTTTTATCATGCTCGACATTATCATATCTTTCGTTTTAGGTCTTTTACCCGGTCTTGATAATTTCTCTCACATTGGAGGATTCCTTATGGGTCTTGTTCTCGGTTTATCGATTCTTCGTTCACCCAATTCTTTACGAATGCGAACAGGTCAATCAGATCCACCATACGCACCTGTCCCTACCAAAGCGAGCCAAGGCGACCGTGGTATCGTTAGTTTATTCAAAAATCCTTCGGGATTTTTCAAGGGCAGAAAACCAGCTTGGTGGGCTTGGTTACTTTTGAGATTAGCTGCCTTAGTCTTCGTCTTTATTGTGTTTATTTTGCTTCTAAACAATTTCTATGTCTATAGGAAGACTTGCGGTTGGTGCAAATATTTGAGTTGTATTGTAAGATTCCCCCTTATTTTATTCGGTTATATTCCTTTGTTGAAGTCAAGCTAATAATATGAAAATAGGATGTGAACAATTGGTGTAGCCTGGGCAATTTGAATTTGACCAATACTACGACGAAGAGAAGTTTACTTGATAGTTGGGGTTCAATGGCCAAGTTGTATACATAAACCGAGATGCTTTTATCAAGCTTTTGGTTATATTTTCAATGAGAGTTACGATACGGGAGGATGAATTGTGGGGGTGGGAGTAGATGTTACCTTTGCATTTTTGAGGGAAAAAAGAGCATATTGCAATATGCATAGCGATGGAGTTGCTTTGTCGGATTGGACAATATGGATTTTTTTGGTTATTCTGGATGAGTTACTACCAGACTTTACTTCATACGAATGTATGAGGGATGATGAGACTCGGGTCGAGAAGAGTGATCGGGTGGCTGGGACGAGGAAAACGGAATAAACTGCATCTTACTCAAGCGTTTTGATTCAAGGTCTGCAAATGCGGATTGAATAAAGCGTATACCATGATATATTCCAATAAATTTAATGAATGATATCATTTGATATCATTTTTCACATCATTTTGAATCGGATTAGTTTGTGTATTGATTATGCCTATTACAACAGGGTGTTGTGCCACACTGACAATGTCAGCTTTTCGCCTTCATTTTTGAGTATCCTTCCAGCTCATCATTGGCCTCTTGTATCTACTCGTACTTCTTGTAACGTAGAATGTTTTATTGTACGGTGCATGTATATACATCATACGGTGGCTCTAGGGTATCTTGGAAGATATGTTTAGTTTGAACTCGTAGGAACAGTAGGTATTCCTATAACGGAGAGAATTTCTGGCCTTGAATCTCTTATTCACAGTTCTAGCTTCCTACAGTTCGCCTACCTAGGTATATATCGTTGAAGATTCTCTTGAAAGGAATCAAAAACTGTACTTACTCCATACATTAACATCACCAAATTGATCCACACCGCTTTCATTCCTCCACTTTCTAGATCATTCTGCCGTATGCAAGCTAAGGCGGTGTAACAAATATTCCGCGAAAAATATCATATCGCAAAGACAATGCCATCTTCCATAAACAAACCTTCCAAACCATTCTACCTCGTCTTCACCATCAATTCTTTCCATCATGGGTCGCAGCGACAGCAACGAACGGGTAGCCAAACCCAAGAAAGAAAGGAAAGCCAAAATCCCCAAGGATCAACGCGTTCGCAAACCTAAACTCCCCAAGGATAAAGACCCGCTGCGTACGAATAAACCAGAGGTTCCGTTGATAAATCGCTCGGTACATGCGAAATGGGGCGCGCTCTTTCGAAAACATTTGGGCGTGCTAGAGGCGCATTGTAAGGCGTTGGATCGGGTGCAACAGGCGATGAAGAGTGAGATGAAGAATTTGAGTGAGGAGGAGAAGAGGGAGTGGGAGTTGAATGAGGAGGGGCCGTGGAGGATTCTTTGTGGTTTGTTGGATAGAGGGAGGGATACGTTGGTTAGTGGGAGGAAGATGGCGCAGTTTGTGGTGAGTTCTCCTGGGGGCAAGGGGATGTGGTATGATGGGGATTTACTAATGCGATTGCGCAATAGTTACCTCCTCGTTTAATGAAGGATAGAAAGGGATTGGGAGTTTTGGGCACAAACTATGAACCTCTTGTTCCGCAACTCGATGCCCGTCTCGCGGCGGAGAAAAATGGCACTGCTACTACCAAAACCAATGAGAGCAATAACGATAGTTCTGATTCTTCTTCAGACTCCTCGTCTTCCTCCGATTCCGACTCCGACTCCGATGCAGCAGAAGTAGGAGGATATGAAGATGAAGATGTGGAAATGGAAGATGCACCCGTGGCAGAATCTAAGAAAGATCCCTCGACAAGTGCGCCGGTGGAGACAGAATCAAGTGCGCATTTCTTCGTCGATACGGAGCCGACTCCGGTCGCAGATTTAGATATGAAGGATAAGAAAGATAAGAAGAGAAAGGCGGACGACGCTCTTGTGGGAAGAAAATCGAAGAGGGAGAAGAAGAGTGAGGAGGAGGAAAAGAAAATTGAGGAGGAAGAGGTTAATTTCCAAGCTATGGAGGCACAGTTGCAAGCGGAGGTTGAGGCGGGTATGAAGGCTCAGGAGGAAAAGGCACAGAATGCGGAGGAGAAGAAAGAGAAAAAGAGGAAGAGAGATAGTAATGTGGAGGAGAATGAGGGGAAGAAATCAAAGAAGGAGAAAAAGAATAAGAAAGTTGAGGAGGAAGTGAAGGAGGCTGAAGAGGTTGAGGTTGAGCCAGAGGTTGAGCAAGCGCCAGAGCCAGAAGTAGAGAGTAAGAAAGAGAAAAAATCAAAGAAGGACAAGAAGAGAAAAGCAGATGATGTTGCGGCAGAAGATGAACAAATTGATGGAAAGAGGAAGAGGAAATCGAAATGAGAGATTTGTGAATCGAGAGGAAAGGAAATATACACGGATAGCATATCTAGATGGATTTGAGCAAATGGGGAGGAGCATTTGGGCATTGCATAGACGGACGAGTGGAGGGAGGGATGGATAGATGTGCTAATTAATAAACCTATTGAATACTGTCTAAATGATGCGTCTGTAATCTCAAAATTTGAGGTTTAAAACTGGAATTGGAGTGTGGGAATTTATATATGGTTGTAGTCACAAGTGTGCTTGACTTGGTTTATTTACTTTGTTTTGCTGAATTTGATTGCATTGGATTGCACAGGATTGGATGTACACCATATCTATCATATGTAAAAGCAGCACAAGTCAATAATCACATTCGTACAGCAAAGTCGGCATCGAACGTGGATGGATTAATCATGTCTTAAGTGGTACACATGAATGTATGTGGTGATGGAGTTGAGGGTTGAAGTTTGTAGATTTCGTTTCTACACTTCACCATTTTATACTCTTCGCTTGTCAATTTCGGTTCATTGTGGATACAGGATTGGGAATGGGAATGAGAATGGAAGTATAAAAAGACCAGCGTTTTGAATTTTCGAGGATTGTACTTTCGGATCTTATCGAGGTTGCTGCTCGTGAGGAGTTGAGAGGAGACAGATGTGCGGAGGGGTTTTGAGGAATTGGTAGAAAAACTGGCCACTTTTAAGTTTTGGCTGGGAAAGATAGAAAGGTCTGCAGGAGATTGGTTGGGGTTGGTCTTGTTTGTTGTGGGAGGGTGTGCTGTTGTTGTCGCTGTTGTTTCGCTGGCGTGGTTACATCATTATCGTTATATTTTTGTGATTGCCACACAATTCTGTTTTTATCTCGAGGGTTTTTGTGTTTGCAGGATACTTTTCCGCATATATCCTCGTTATTTAAATTATCTCACGATCCGTTAAAATCGTAGTTGTATACGGGAGGGAACGGAATCGGAAGCTCGTTATCTGTGGATGTTGCTGAGTACACATTATATTTTGCGTCTTTTGGAAGGGAAAGATACGGTTTACATACGCCGCGGATTGCGAGGTGCGGATAGGGATGGGCTTGGGTATCGAGGTGTATAAAACGCCTACCTTGAAATCTGGAGAAAGGGCTTATAGATACTTTCAGATGAGGAAATAGAGATGAGATAGTCTTTGCATCAGAGAAATATCAGTCTTGGGAACGAATATTTGTGGAATTGGATACTACTAAGATATGTGGTGGGAAGAGGAAAGTGGTAGGCGAAATCAGGAATTAGATATATAGATAAATGACAATGGTAACGTTAAGAGATGACAGTAAATTAGAATGTGAAAGAGTCGACAATAAGAAAGGTTTGCTAGTCATAGTGATAACTAACTAGTATATTATTGTCGCTAGTAATGACATCGTATTCTAGATTATTACAGAGGCGTATGTATACAATCACCTTCATCGCATCTAAAATTCATGATTAGCATTGACTTTCTGAGAATCGCATGATTGTACCACCTCGTTCACTTTGTTTTCATCATTTTCTTATAGAAACTGATATATTTTTAGAGAAGTTAAAGAGTAGAACAAGCCAGCCATCATATATCCTGATATTATTTACCAACTTTTTGGTGCTGGAGAAGAATAGTGCAGTTGTTGAGAACTACGATGTTCCAACCAGACTCACTGTAAGACAGACGTATTAGCAATTCTCTATCGAAGCTGTTCATTTTGAGGCCACCCACCAGGATTAGAACAGACTCTTAAGAGCAAATAAGTTGAAACACGAAGGGTATCCTATTGACGATGTTATTCCCAATAACAAGCACTTTTTCGCAAGCCAATTGAGATCACATTCAGCGCTTGTATATGCACCGTCATAATTGATCGACTTTCTATTCAGTTTCCCACCACTCATCATCCAAGATCTGCTTTGCAGTCGGTCGATCGCGCGGATTCAACTTGAGAACCTTTTGCAGGAAAATATTATCAACCTTGGGAATCTCCTTCTGCGTAATCATGGGTAATGGCTTCATTTTCTCGGGTGGCACTGCTTTCATTGCTAAAACAATCGCGTTCTGAGTCCCCTCATCTGCGATTTCACCAAATCAAATTGGGAATGGACCTAGGTACTGATGCTGCTTCATCAGTACCCCAAAATCATACTCGTCATCATCGACTTCAGCACCCCCATTTCGAGGATTGAATGGATAGTGATCGCCGTAAATAAGCATCAATATCTGATAATTGTACGATTAGCGCAAAGATTGGAATTCTGCTAGTGCCAGAAGAAAAAGCAATGACTTACCGAACAACCGAAAGACCAAATATCAGATGATGTCCCCCACGGCATACCGAGGAGAACCTCTGGACTTGCGCCATGAAGATGTCCCCACTATATGGCCCTCCTTTGGCCATTTTGAATGTGCGGATACAGTACCTCCAAGATCAGCAAGCTGGGCTTCAGAAAAGCGTTCATTGCCGTTCCCATGATTTATGAGAATATCATCCGGTTTCACATCTACACATATTTAGAATTCATGACTTCTATCGTAGGAAGAAACATAAATACATACCGGTATGAACGTAACCATCTTCGTGCAAAACTTGCAAAGCTTCCAACACTCTTCTGGCGACGAATTTGAGTTCAGGCTTTGTAAGTCTTTTCTTGTAAGTTTCAGTCATGAGATCGTCGTCTAAATGTTTGAGAACAATGGTTGGCGGATCAATAGGATCAACAATCTCATCGATCAGCGGTCTGAGAGACGGCGCTCTAGATTGGAACCGTTTGAGAACATCTGCTTCGTTTTGTAGTCGCCAGTGACCACGTATACTCTTAACAATGACATTTTGTTTTGTCGAATCTCTTCAAGAGATTTTGATCAGCGGAAGTATCGAACTAGTGGTTGTATAGAACATACTGTGCTAGAAAAACAAACTCATATAATTTTTTGCTGACTGTATAAGTATTAGTTCTTCCCTTCAATTTCTGGCCGATACTGAGTAGGGAAGACATTAGTCACTCAAGCTCACGGATTTGACGATGTTGAGAGCTTCGGAGGTGGGAGCTGACGAAATCATAAAACAAAGATTAGGTGAAATTCAGTTTAAGTGAAGATTTCCATGGAAGAATGGTGTTTTTGTATATTATCAAAGTTGGAAGGTATTGTTGTCGCCGCTGCGTGGATTAGGATACAATGATATACGAGAACAGCTTAGTAATCTACGTCTTATTTCTTAAATGAATTCGTAAATAATCTACCCCCCCCCCTCGCAACTATAAAACCCCCCTCCCCTCATCAAGATTCCACCTTCCAACCCAGCCAAACTAACATTTACAATGTCTCGCTTCAGGAAACATTTTCGTGACTCGGGCATCCATTGTTTAATCATAATACGTAGATCAAGTAGATACTCCGGTAGAAAATTCACCTGATTCCTCACTTCTCAATACTCGAGACTCGAGAGAGTTGTGAGATGTGAGATTACACCAAATCGACAACACCTAGATATACACACCTTTACAATTTATCATCATCATCATCATAAAAATATTAAGCGACAGCAACAAACCTTTTTCACTCTTCATTCGCCATGCCGGCAGCAACCTTACAACAAGAATAACAACAAAAAAACAACCCCCTCTAAAATCTCCCTCCTCCTCCTCCTCCTACTCCCCGCTCTAAACTCTCAAACTCCATGATAAATTCAAAGAAAAGAAACCAAGAGCTTCTCAATTAATTAAATCCACTCTACAAACAAAGGAGCACAAACCCTAAATCCTAAACCCTAGACAAACACTCGGAGATGAACAGAAATTTAAAAGTCAAAAGGTAGAAATGAACTATTTTCACTATATGAAACATTCCGCACTACAGAATTCTCATCTCACATCCATACAATCAGTCTCTCCTTCAAAAATAAGAAAAATACCACATACACACATACATATACACACAACTACCTTCCACAAGCGAGGACTCTAGATTCTAGATTTTAGATTCCGATGAACATAAAATGCCATATTTCTTTCCTTTTTTTCAAGGAAACCTGCACTAAATATGGAAAGTTCTCTTAATTCCTACTATCCTAGTATCGGTATCGGTATTCAGGAAACTAAGAATCCAAAGATGGAAAAAAAGAAAAGAAAAGGGAAAAAACTCCTGCTTTCTGCCTTCAACATCGCATCTCCTAGTAAAAGCAAAAGCAAAGCAAAAGCAGAGCAAAATACAAGCTAGAAGTCTAAAAGTCCATATTCAAATTCAGATCACAATCATGATCGCAAATCAAAGAAAGGGATCATAAAAGAAGGAAAGAAAGAAAGAAAGAAAGAAAGAAAGAAAGAAACAAAGAAACAAATCCCCCCTCCATTACTCCCCAACGCACCCATGAATATACCATCACCATCACCATCCCATCTCATCTCATCTCATCACCAACCACCCCCCGCCCCCGACCCAACCCCATTATAAACCGCCACATAGCCCACCTCCATTCCACTCCCCATCCCCCCCCTGGTCAACGCATTCGGCATACCCGGATACATACCCCCAACCGCCACATTCAAGATAACAAAATAAGTTTCCCCGACCAACTTCACCCAACTAGCATAATCTCCCACCATGGCCCCGGTAACCGTAAAATACGCATTCCCATCCAGCTCCCACGTGATACTCTGCGACTGCCAGTCGCCCACCCGCGAGATGCGGATGCCGTACGTGTGCCAGGCCGAGCGATCAAACCACGCATTGGGGGATCCGATCGCGAGCGGATACGACGCGCTGCCGTAGTGAATCGTGCCCACGTTTGCGGATACCCCGTTGACCTGCTCCATGATATCCCATTCACCGCACTCGGGCCACATGTTGTCGCTTCGGAAGCTTTCGCCGAGAGTCCAGAAGGCGGGCCAGATACCTTGTTGATGGGTGGGATCGCTGCTGCCCATTTTGATGCTGGCGGAAACGATCATTTCGGCGCCGTTGGCGCATCCCCAACTTTGCAAGGTGCTTATGCGCGCGGATGTCCATTTTCCGGAGGAATAGAGAGGGGTGATGTAGAGGGTGGAGGAACCGGAGAGGTTAGCATTCTGTGGGGATGATGTGTAGTGTTGGATTTCGTTGTTTTGGTTTGTGGCGGGGGTTTCATATTCCCATTTTGAGGAGGAGGCGAGGGAACCCGCGGAGCCGGAAAAGGAGTCTGACCATGTTAGAGTGAAGCCTGGAATTTTGGGAGGAGCGCCAGCGTGAGTCAAAGGAAGGGTAATGGAGATGGAGAGAATGGAGAGAGTGATTTGTGATAGGGAAGGGAATGTATGTTTCATGGTGAAATTTAGTACGATTTATCTAGCTCGCATCGATCCCGCGATATAGAATATAAGATTAGGACAGAAAGAAATAAATAAGAATGAAAAATGATTGAATGATCGATTGATTGATTGAACGAACGAACGATAAGTGGTGTTGTAATGAACGTGAAAAGTAAGTAGATCCGTTGACTTGACAGAAAAGAAAAGAAAAACATGTACATGGACGACAACCTACTTTATGAAAATTATCTCTCACCAAATAACGTCTCCAAACATTTCTTCATAATCAACGGTCTACATGAAGGTTAAATTCCAACAGAACCTTTATTTTTATCCCTCTTGGCCTAGGTATTAATTCTGTCCGTTTTCACTCAACTTATCGTCTGATCTCCAATCACACCAACTTCTCAGTCCAAAGTACCAAATCTACGGCCCAAATGTGGCGTAGAGGACTGTATTAAGTACGCGGCCTTTTAAATGTTCCCCTGATATCTCTAAAATATCGCTTATTTGATTGATTTAAACCACTCGTATTTTGTTTGGTAGCCCCATAATTTGTTTGTTGGCCATTGGCAGGCTGTAACTAGAGACTTTTGATCCTCATGGATTGTTGTCCGCGCTTCTAGTCTTGAGTGTAAATCTTGGGGTTTCGTACGAAGATAATGTTGGCTGTGGAGATTTTGGGTTAAGCGCTCTGTGATAATCTCTACGCATGAACACGCAGATAACGATATCGAACATTAACTTGTATTGTTGTATACTCGAGTAGTTCCAAGTCGACTCGAAGAATTCATTACGCTTATGAGAGACAAAATCGCTAGAACGAATTTGAAACGAATCTATGAGATTTGAATCAAGATAGAGTATTGAACAAAAAGATGCAGAGAGGTGAGGGGCAATTGAATGATGAAAGACATGCATTTTGCACAAGAACTGATTCCGATCACCTACATGACTTTAGATGCAAGAAAGACCAAGTATGATTTTCTTGGAGCAACCCTACAACTATAGAACTCTCGTGACATCCAAATAGAGTAAAGGCCAACTACGATTGACTTTTATTCTTTCCGTCTGGCTATTACCTCAAGTCTAGGAAGCGAAACATCTCGACTGCCTTCCTCCCAAAATGGCACACTATACGCCAGCATTCTCTATGGTTTTTCTTTTTTTTCTTTTTGGAAAATCATTGCTAACATAATGGTAGTGGTAGCTGATGAAATTTGCATGATGAATCGATGGATGGCATGCATATGTGATAGAATTATCAAAGCGAGTGCATCTGTGATCAAAAGGCTTTTGTCAAGGACGGCGCTATCACTGTAGATTCTGAAAAATATTCCTCGCCACTATCGTATGATAAGAGCTGGGGTGTGGAAAAACAGTAAATGACAAACTCAATTGGGCTCGCCGAGTATGTACTGAGCGATGTTCTCGAGAATCCGTAAGCACTTACTTAAAGAAGCCTTGAGTAAAGCTCTCACAATAAATTTTGGGTGACTTCGAAAGAATGAAAGGGTAGTACAACTGAATTTAACTATTGAACTCGTACTGTAGTGAGTGGTGTATTCAAAGTACTCGGTCAATTATGTATGGTAATAAAACGCGGCTCTCGAGAAGTGAACGAGAAGAGTGCTGAGCACGAAAACACGATTCGATGCTAAGATATATCGCCAATTTATGAAAACCAGATCGGCCAGCGATGAAACGTGAAACGAGCAACCAAGAAGGATGCTCGGCATAGAATGTGTAACGCGAGTTTAAACATACGAGAGACAACAACTCAGGTTCGGTTGATCATGACAGCAGCGATGATGAAAGTCAGTCAAGCATAGTAGCCAAGAGTGAGATCTACATCCGTGTTTGGAATACCAAGGCCCCGTCGTTAGACTAGGGATGATGAATAACTGTAAATCATACATCGTTCAATTCATAATATCGTGTAGACCTCATCACAAATTCATGTTCTGACAAGAAGAAATTTCGTGAGACAAAGACTTACTTTGGAGTTGTGGTTTGTGATACTCGCCCTGAACTGAATCATTTATTTCGGCTGGGTGATGCCCAAGACGATCCAGAAATGCAGTGGCATGTGATCATATTGTCTGACTTGCTCTCAGATATTTGAAGATCTCGACTTGGCAGCTGTAATCTGTATGTTGACATTACTCGGTTTGATCAGTCACTCTGTCTATGACACAGCGGTGAAAACTTGACCCCTTGAATACCTATTCCAGGCAAGAGAACTTGAGATTCGGAAGCGTTGTTCATCGCAATGCTTTAGTATTGTTGTCCCATCCAATATTGAAAAGGTTATCCAGCATGATGTTCTTCCCCGCTTTATTGATTCTTGCACTCGCCACTAGCCATCAAAGTCACAAGACCTCATCTTTCATTTCCACGTCTTTTCCAAACTAATGCATCCTCAACGGAAGTGCATATCCCAACCTCCTCTTACTTGGGTATGAATTGAAGTCTGTGCGACGATATGCATTGACAAAACCATCGGTGATTCCGAATCAGGTAACATTTACGTTGAAAATATTCAAGAATTCCTGTATGGATATTATTACCATCTTTGACATCAAAGCTATGGATAAAGAATCGTGTAATCACATGAATGGTTCGATGTGGCATTCATCGTGTATTTGAAGTATTTTGTGGACTACCACATTGTTCCCGATTGGTTGTCCTATCTCTAATATCTTGTGATGATATCGCATTTCCGATAAGAATTTCATGGGAGGGAAACTTTTCCCAACCAATCTTCCACGATTGACAGCCACGAATTCGCGTCCAAAGATGGTATGAATTAGATGATGGATGTGCGTG